GAGCGGCAGCAGAGACCCCCCAGGGTACAGAACAGAGCAAGCATCAATGGCAATCAGAAAATGACATTGATTAATTAGATACAACATAAAAAGGAGGAGCTGGGGTGGAGGTGGGTGCAAAAAGGCTTTGTAGAGGAGCAGCAGAGATAGGCAGGCAGGCTAAAGCAGCTTAAATAAGGCGCCATGTAGATGTTTGCCAATTGGATGCTTGAGGAAATCAGGTGAGCTGTCAGCTGACTGTGTATGGTATCCAATGGGAAGCTTAGAGGAATCAGCTGATGTATGTTTATGACTAGCTGTGATCGTATGATATAGCTGTAACTGAAAGCTAAGCCTGACTTTGTGCCCTGCCTGAACTAACGCTATGCTCAATTTATTTCGTGCCAGACCTTCATCAGGCAAATAGTTTGTGACAATTAGAAACCATCTTAAATAAGGAGTGGCTATAAGTCTGCAACTAGTACAACATCAATTTACTATATGACATTCTCCAATAACATGCATGGAGCTAGAAAAATAACTCTCTCAAGTAACAAACATAAATGTACCCAAACAATCTTACATAGAATTGAAAATTTAATTATCAAAAACTATCAAATAAATACTTAGACTCAAATTAGGGCTACATTCATAGATGGACCTGTAGAGATGCATTTACATGGCAAGTGAAAGATTCAACAAATTCATAATAAACTACAAAAAGCTCTCTCAAGTTTGAGTAGTCACCAATCCTAGGTGGTAGGGTGACCTGAAGAGATGTGATGGATTGCACAAGTATGAGATAATCCCAATTGGTGCATTATGGTGCAACTCCGGTGTTACTTTGGGAAGAGGGCGCTCACCTACGCAAATAGATTTGCAAAGTTTTGTTCTGTTTGGAGAAATCATATTAACGAAAGTTGTAGTTGACATCAGAGAAAGTAAATGGACAATAAAAAGCCAAAAGATAAATAAATTTAAAAAAACAGATATATTCAAACGTTTCAGCAGAAGCAGAAGATTCCGTAAAATTCTCATTGAGGTCTAGATCTGTTTGATGCATGTCATCTACAAAGGCAGCACTCTGCTGTGTACATCAAACTGAAAAGATGTTATGGAGATCACTTGTATTAGATGTTCACTTCATAATGAGCGTATTTTTTCACCTTATTATTTGATGCAAATTTAATGAATTCTTCAGGGAATTATTTAAGCATGAGAATGTGATGTTTTTCACAAAGTAAACCTCAGGTTTTATAAGAAGGATTATTGCTGTTTTTTTACCTTATGATAATTACTAACTGAATATAGTGTTGTTAAATCTGCAGCCCCCGATCTGAAAAGAGCCACACCAGAGCCATTCACTGTGTTTTTGTGTGTGATTACATCAGGCTGCTACAAAATAATGACACACTTGAGGTCGATTATAACAAAATAACGGTGTTGTGCCTGTTTATAAGGGAATCGTCAGATTAACGGAGCTCATTAATCCTTCATCAATGCCACCTTTCCAACTTTCTTTTAAGCAAAAGTTGAGTTTCATGTTTTATTCTTGACATGCATGACTGTGCAAGCGCTGCTGAGTTAGTTATGATATGAAGTGACCATTTATGACGGGAGATTCAACAGAATTAAAACTGAAAAATCATCAGATTGATGCGATCATATAAACACCAACATTGTTTATAATTGATTTCTATCATCATTGTACAAATTAATTGTAATAAAACCCTCACTATCTGCCTGTGGCTGCAGATCTGTGAAGCTTTGTGTTCATGTCATGCCACTCTGCACCTTCCAGACAACAATATAATTTCCACGATGAAGCGTCTTCTATTTGTTGAGCCATTGTTGTCATGCATCACTGTGACTGGCTCGGCTGTTTCAGAGCTTTGAGACTAGTGATGTGACCGGCTGAGATTGTATTTATGAGTTACCACATCCTTCAATCTATATTTCACTTTTTTTTTTTTTTTTAACTTTGCCCTGCCTGCATGTTCCAAAATTGCACTTGAAGGATTAAAAAAGGGCCCCAAAACTTCAAGCAATTAAAGATAGAAATCAGATAAAAAATTGTTAATATGAATTGACATTAGAGAAAAAAGCTAAAATTGTATTCAGTATAGGAGCAAACCACTTACACAAACTTACTTTTACCTAAAAAACTTACTCAAATTTTTCTATGTAGGCTTTGCTCTTGCTATACTTCCTTTAAGAATCAAGCGGCAAAAGTTTCAACAATACACCTCAAGGACTATAGAGTACAAAACCCAGTAGACACACAGCCTTGAGAGATGTTGTATGCACAATACGCAAGGAAATGGATGCCAGTGTCAAGTACAGGAAAGTATAACTAGAACAGGAGGAGGCTGTGGTTTTGGAGGAAGTAAATCATCAACTACTGACAGTGTTGTCCAGCAGGTGGGCAAAACAGTATAAACAGCAGCAGCAGTGTTATAAATGAAATCATCATCAGGAGTGAGACATTGTCAGTTTCTAAAGATCGCCTCATTTTCCTGATTGAGCATGCTTTATGATTCAGTGCTCTGCCAGAACTAAGGCTGTGCTTCATTACAGCTTTAGTGCTATGGCTCAGTCGTGCTGATAAATGTCTAATTAATTCATGATGGCGTCCTTGTGAGACTTAAAAGTAGTAAGTCTCTGTTTCCACGTCAGGCTTGAGGGCAGTGTCATTCTTATAAAGGGAAGAAGTGAAACCAGGCTGGGGAAAATGACTGCCTTCCCTCCAAAGTTATTCTCTTGGAAAGTCTCTGAATTAAAAAGGGCACCCTGGTAAAAGTGAAATCACCCTAGGACCACCCAACTTCTGCTTATACGTTTTAGCTCTTTCTACTAAGAAAATGAAATTAATAAATCAATTAGGTATTTATGTTTCTGAAGAGTTAAAACGGTTAAAAATCCTCATTAAATATTTGACAAGGATTAGGATCATTGGGGAAATGCTATTTTACGAGTATTTCTCATAGACAACCCCCCTCCTCCTTTCCAACACTTGGTACGTTCCCCCTGGTCTGGAACACCTGCAGGTTAAAGCTGCTGTTGATATATAACCAGTTGTCGGTTTACACATGCAGGGTAACAGTATCATTCATTCGGAATGTTTCTGGCCACCTGTCCAATATCCATTCTCCTTTTAGCTTTTGATTTGCTCTCCTGAGGGAATTATCGGACTGAGCCTTGTGGTTAAATTTGTCTGTCTGCTGTTTGGTGTTCAGCGGGTAATGTACAGTGAGTAAAACAGCAGCCTGCTGCTTTTGGAATCAAAGTGTAAAAGTCATAAGTCAAGTGTAAAACTGCAAAACTAAAACAATGAGCTGAAAAATGACATGAAATAACACACAGCAGTGCTCAGGGGAACTGCACAGTTTTGGTTGATAATTCTCTGTGGGTTCATCTCTGCCCGTGAGCCTGTTCACAATACACAGTCATTACATGCATTGTTCACATAGAAATATTGAATAGTGGCAGTGGACAGGGCAACTAATCTCAAACCATTATATAGAAATCTACCCATTATTTATAATCCATGAAAATGGTTTGATCCTTCTTCTTCCACTGAAGGATTTTTGCTAAAATTACCTGTCAGGGAATTTTTGGGATGGCTTGTGGTTACATTCGCTCCATTGGTATCGTCATGTGAGCACAGAACCGCCAGTAACGCTATAGCCGCTTGTGCTTGGCCCCCTCGGCACTATGATTGAATTTACCATCGGGCCCTATTGACTGCCTTTTTTTCAGTTTGTGTTGTGTTAAATCCTGTCCAATGTTTTGCCCTTTGAACCAAGTAAGCAGTCAATAACCATTTAAGACGACCTTGTAGGTTTAGCTTTATAGTGAACTCCATATATCCCAAGGAAAACAGGATCATATCGGTTCAGAAAACAGAAGTATTTTTTAAACTGTTACAACAGTAGGACACCATTAGTGTTGAATATACAGACTTAGACAGGAAGTGTTTTAATAGTTTTTAAAAGCATCTGCTTTGTAAGAGTGTTTAAAATGGTCTTAAAATGTCTTATGTCATCATGTCCCGATTTGGAAAGAGTTGGTGACAGGATGGACTTTGATTTCTTGTAAAATGAGTTGGAGCTGGCATATTGACAATGGCGTAACATGGGTGGAGGTCTATGGGCTCCAATAAATGAATGTTTTTATCCATGTGATACTAAGGGCCCATTCTCATTTCATTTGTGCCTCCTCGTCTCCTCTCTCCTCCATCGTCCTGTCAGTGACCCAGAAATCTGACAGAGGTGAATCTGCCTTTCACTGTTTGTGTAGCGCCTCACAAAGTGCTGTTCTAACCGAATTCCTTTAAGACGTTTCACCTTGATACAGGCAGTTACTATGGTAACAGCAAAAAAAAACTGTAACACACCTACATAATAAACGGTAAATTAACAGTGTTATGAGACGCTGTTTAATTCGGCATATACTTTTATCCATCAGCACTTGAGAGACTATGAGAAATAATAATAAAACAGTCCGCCTCTCATTTCCAGTGTCTTCTCGCTCCTACAATAGAGGCTGTAGCGAGTTGAGGAGACAAAATTGTCAAAATGTTTACCTTTATGGATTATACTGATGCCAAATTGCCAAGAAGACTGTCAACATATGACGCCCTTTAGCTTGTGTTTCTAGAGTTATGTGTTGTTATGGACACCTAAGGAATTGTTGGTATGTCATATTTCTTAAAGTGAGTTTGGATCAGTCATATTATGTATAAATATAATATAATATAGTACAGAACACAATGAAAAACAAATATTCTTATATACAATCGTGCAATAAACTGAGCTTTATAGGGAAAGAGCAGCTTAATGGGTCATGATTTAAATAAAATTTTAGGAACACTGTTCTGCTCATCTGATATAGCGGTTGGACTAAGATGCGAGGAGAGGAGGTGGGGAGAGGAATTGAGTAAGTACAAATTGGGAAATTAGAAAGGCCTTAATTCTGCTTTGCTTACTGTGTGTGTTTATGTGTGTGTGTTTGTGTTTCAGGTGCTGGGCTGTGCTGGAAATTGTCCCCCAGACGTCGTTACCAGAGAGGCGGACGGCAGGAGAGACTACAACCCAGCCCGACTCCAGCAGCCTGTCTGGTCCTCACTCCGCTGTCTCCCCTCTGCTGTACTCCAACATCTCACTAGAGGAGTGAGTCTTTACTCTGAATGCTATCTTGTCCACTTATTCACTTCTCTACTTGCTCTATGTATCTCTAGTGTTCAGGTGTTACAGTTGAGTCAGTAAGTGGGTATATACACTCAGATTAGATTTGGCTTCTCTTCAATGTTTCCAAGTACCCCTAGGCAACTGCAGAAGTACCCCCTGCGGTACAAGTACCCCTGGTTGGGAATCATTGCTGTGAAAGATTGATTAAATAATGAATTAGTTCCAATGGGAAACAACATACTGTTCCTTGTTAGTGCATCGGTCTAGAGTACAGTTTACCCTCTGTTATCTTCAGGTATATAAGCTTTCGGTGTCTTCACCTGTAGTCAGTTTGGATTACAGTTTTACTCAGTGCAGTTATTTAGTGCAGATGTTCAAAAAGCATTGCTATTACCTGATCAAATGAACCAAAATAAAGGAGTGAATGCTCCAGAGGTCACTCTGTGGTTGATGAGAACAAGCCCTTACATGATCTTGGGAGCAAGCCAAACCATTGATATTGGGGCAGAACAAACCCTTAAAGCAACAGGGGATTTTCAATAGAACATTCTTAAAACTGATTTAAACTCTTTTATTGTTTGCATTTTCTGCCACAAAGGAGTAGACTGGCTCCTCAGTTGGAACTCATTGCAAAACTATTACTGCTGGTTTGAAATTGAATTTGACAGTTTATTATTTTCCTTCTAAACAGGAGTTGACAGACAATGTAAATCCGGTAAGGTCCCCTTACTAGCTTGTTCTGGGGCTTTCAACTGTATAACATGGTCCTCATAGGCAGAGGTAGTTTTCTCAGTTGTCATTGATTTGGATTTTTGTATAAAGAAATCCCTGATTTTGACAGCTTCCTGGCTTAAAGTTTGATGTCACTTTATTCTTGACCTTGGAAACACCAGGAACAGAAGTTTACTTACTTGTTCTGGAGGTCAAAACTGTTGTGAAAGATTGAGAGACAGACACAATAATGGATAGTGAATTGTAGGTACAGATAGTGATTTACTTCAGGGTCACACCTAAAGAAAACAGCTTATCAAAACAACGATTCCAAGCCGTCCTGTTATCTGAAGTAGAAGGACATATGGTCAAATAACATCCACTGACATCAGCTCAGTCCTTTAATAGTTCGGCAGGCATGGAGCTCTTTTTATACCATTACACTGTCCACTCCCATTTTGAGATCGTAAAACAGTTAGCTTTTTGTCTTCAGAATTGTACACTATGCTATTCCGTCGACGCCCAAAGGTGACAGTGAGGATACATCAGCAGAGAACTGAGTGAATGTGCACAATTAACAGCTCTTGTACTGAATATGTAATTATTTCAAAGCATCTTTGAATTGTAATGGCTCCCTGGCTCAGGCCTTCCCCTTCCATTAAATCCTCCTTCATTCCACTGATTTGCAGAACAACCATTTTTCATTCTGATTGCTTGGCATGAATTTTTATTTCTGTGTTATTCTTTCCCCCCTACCGATCACCGCTCATTGTTCATCTTTTTAAAAAGCAGAGCTCCTGTGACCCACATGGCTACAGCAACCTCAGTGACAGGTACTCTCCTCTCCCTGCTCGGCAGAGCCGTTGCTTTCAAAGACCAACATTGCCCCCTAGTGGATTCTTATAAACAGTTTGAAAAAAGCTGTCAGGAGCTCATGGCTGTTACACTGCTTCAAATCCCAATCCTCTAACCTTGTTCCCCTCATCTGTTGAGTCTTTTAGAGAAGCTATGTGCCTTTAAAGTCATGTTAGGATGAAGGGGGTAATAACACAGATAAAAGTGCCTCATGTGTTCTGTCACTGGGCTCAGAAACAACAGTTTGCTTTTAGACCGTTTTCTAAACACTTGGGATTCCTGGAGAGTGTTTTTCTTCAGATACAGGTGATTGGAGAGCAGTTCTATGTCTGTAAATGTTTTGGAGACAAATTGCACTGTACACATTGTACGCAAACATGCGTACTCTCACCTTTATGCATCGCTGTAGCACACATATGGACATACGTCTGTTCATATGTCCGTGTATGTTGCATTGTCCCTGCTCTTACTGTATTTACACTGTGTTTTAGAACATTTCAGCAATTTACACGCTGCATTTGTTTTACACTTATGAGCAAATGCAGTTAGCCATGTAGTGTTGTGCAGAATTGGTTAGTCTACCTTGCAAAAATGCGGGCTCTGTTGAAGTTATGCCGGATAATTGAAAGATGCTGTTTAACATTTCAAAGCTGAGAAACCAAGATGGCCACTGAACTAAAACTAATCCAGTTTAACCAAACTGTTTTATGGTACACTTTCACAAGTGACTTGTCCCACAATTAAATAAAGAATTTAGTTAATTTGTTGCTTGTTGATTAGCTTTTTGATTGTTGAACAGTTTATGCTCTACAGAGACGCTAAGTTAAGTTCATTAAAATGAATGATACAGAAACATAGCAGTTAATTATTAATCAAATGAAATGTCACTAACAGAATTTTCATCTGGAGCCACAGATACTGAGCGATGCAGTACTGGAGAAATAATGGGGGAAACAAATGGGGGCATTTATGGTATAATTTTACTCTGAATGAAAGGATTACCTTGTTTTCCAAGTAAAAATGGGAACAATAGTTGACAATCGATCAGTCAGGCCTACTTGTATGACAGTACAGTCTGGGTTTGCTTTTATTCATTTAGAGACACCTCCAGAAGGATAGAGAAACTAAGTGCTATGAAAGTTTATTTACTATGTAAATATTGATGATGTAGATCTATCTGTAAAAATTTAGAAGAAGAAAAGAATCTTAGAAATGTTGTAATGGCTAGAACATTTTCATATAGTAATAACCCCAAGATTGATAAAGTCCACAAAAGTCATCAGAGATTTGGTCTAAAGATGACTTCACCTTAAGTACTTTAGTCCTGAACATGGCACTTTTTTAGTCTTACACATAAAAATTGAGTCAGCCTGGACAAAACTGAGATTTTGGTTGATTTTTGTCATGTTAACATGACCTCTGCAGTAAATTCATCCTTTATTTGATTAATTTTACAGATGAAAATATAAAATAGTCAATGTTACTGTTGCAGTGGCAGTCCATCAGCATTTTGTTTTCCTTTGGCAGAAATGGTGGCCTCCAAACATTTTTTGCTGGCAGTCTTGCTTTGGGAGTTGTTACCCTACTGAGCACAGTGAAGGGGAATTTAATCATCATATTTCTTGAAGTAGTTGTGTGAGAAGCTTTGCAAGCCAAAGATAAAGTCAAAAAGTGTGACTGATGAAAGAAAAAAATTGTATGATTCAAGTTTTTTTTTCATTATTTGAAAATGTAACTGACATCAGACACTTATAAAATGTTGCTACGGATGGTTTTCTTTCACCACACAGTCCAGGCATTCTTTCTTTCTGTCATAGCAAAAAACATCATTCAGTCTAGTGACAAGTGAAAGGCTGAGGCAGATAAAAGGAAATACTGAGAGACACACACAGACACACACACGAAATTTGCTGCAATAACTCAGTTCACAAGTTAAAGTACAGATGAAAAAAAATAAGTTTCATATTATGATTAAGTCCAGTGTCAGTACAACCATACTACTTGGAATAAAAATGATCAGAATTATAGTTTTTGCAAAATGAATTCATTATGTTTGTAGTCTCAGATTGTATTGTGCTGTCTTTCTTCTAGCCTTTCCTTTTCACTTTATGTCCATCCTTCCTCTTTTTCGTCCTCCTTTTTAAACAGGTTAACAGTCAGAAAAAGAAATACAGCAAAATCTTCAAAATCTCCCACTTAATGTACATGTTTACCTTTCAAAAGGCTTTCATACCCAGTCCTGTTCTTCCTCATCTGTGAGTCATTTAATCAAAAATATAGCTAGTCAGTCAGTCCATGTTATAAACTGCAGGACACAGAGAAAACTGCAACAAATCTGGATTTAAAATAGATGTGACAACTGCTTTTGACAGCAGAGTACATGTGGCATCGCTCATACTTTCCGCACCAAGGTTAGAAAACACACCACACACTGCTGTGAGAGCTGTAACCTTATTCTTGTTCTTCAGGATGGATGATGAGCCTTGCATGCTTTCATTCAGGCCAGTCAGAAGGATACGGGTGTCAGATGTTCCGGCTCGGCAGGAGGCACAGTCTGAGACGTGTGCAGCACGTCAGCAAGTCAGCACCTTGCCCCAAGACCGCCACCTGCCATCAAAGTACAGCAACAGGTGGAAGACTTCCCAGCCCAGTTCTATGCATATTTCTATAAAATGCTGAAATGAAATGCCCTTGCTTTGATCATGTTGATCATCTTAATTAATAATTTGACAGTTGAGTCTTTCAAACAGCTGTAGCTTGGCTGTCTACATGGATCATGCTTTACGCTCAGATCTTTTTTGCATCATTATAAAGCCCTGGTTGCATATGCATATTTTAGTTCCCTTCAGTTTTTTTTGTTTTCATATACAGTGGGTAAAATAAGTATTGAACACGTCACCATTTCTCAGTAAATATATTTCTAAAAGGTGCTTTCTAAAATTTTCACCAGATGTCGGTAACAACCCATGCAATCCACACATGCAAAGAAACCAAAATAAATGATTTCAGAAATTAAAGTTATGTGTAATAAAATGGAATGACACAGGGGAAAAGTATTTAACACGCTTACTGAAATTTATTTAATACTTCGTACAAAAGCCTTTGTTGGTAATGACAGCTTCAAGATGCCTCCTGTATGGAGAAACTAGTCGCATGCATTGCTCAGGTGTGATTTTGGCCCATTCTTCTGCACAAACAGTCCTCAAATCTTGAAGTTTCCATGGGCCTCTTCTATGAACTCTGATCTTTAGTTCTTTCCATAGATTTTCTATTGGATTCAAGTCAGGTGATTGGCTGGACCATTCTAGCGGCTCTATTTTCTTTCTCTGAAACCATTTGAGAGTTTCCTTGGCTGTGTGTTTGGGATCATTGTCTTGCTGAAATGTCCACCCTTGTTTCATCTTCATCATCCTGGTAGATGGCAGCAGATTTTTATCAAGAATGTCTCGGTACATTTTTCCATTCATCCTTCCTTCAATTATATGAAGTTTGCCAGTGCCGTATGCTGAAAAACAGCCCCACACCATGATGTTTCCACCTCCAAACTTCACTGTTGGTATGGTGTTTTTGGGGTGATGTGCAGTGCCATTTGACCTCCAAACATGCTGTGTATTATGGCATCCAAAGAGCTGAGTTTTGGTCTCATCTGACCAGACTATATTCTCCCAGTATTTCACAGGCTTGTCTAAATGTTGTGAAGCAAACTTTAAACGCGCTTCAACATGCTTTTCCTTTAGCAATGGAGTCTTGCGCGGTGAGCGTGCATACAGGCCATGGCAGTTGAGTGCATTACTTATTGTTTTCTTTGAAACAGTTGTACCTGCTAAATCCAGGTCTTTCTGAAGCTCTCCACAAGTGGTCCTTGGCTCTTGGACAACTCTTCTGAAAATTCTTTTCACTCCTCTGTCAGAAATCTTGCGAGGAGCACCTAGTCGTTTATGGTGAATGATGTTCTGATGCTCACTGGAACATTCAGAAGTTTAGAAATCCTTCTGTAACCAATGCCATCAGTATGTTTTGCAACAATAACAATAACATCATGAGATGTTTCTTGTGAGACACCTTTTTATAGGCCATCAGTTGGGACTGAACCAGCTGATATTAATTTGCACTGACAAGTGGCAGGATTGCTTTCTAATTACTGATCGATTTCAGTTGGTGTCTTGGCTCCATGCCTATTTGCGCCTCCCTTTCGTCATGTGTTCAATACTTTTTGCCTGTGTCGTCTCACATTATTACACATAACTTAATTTATGGACATCAATGGTTTGATTGCATGTGTGGATTGAATGTGTTGTTACCGACATCTGGTGAAAATTTCATGTCAATAGCACCTTTTAGAAATATATTTACTGAGAATAATGGTGACGTGCTCAATACTTATTTTACCCGCCGTAAATCATTAGGGCTCAGAGTTTCTAACAAACTCAGTCAATGTTAGCTGGCTAGCTACAGCTAATGAAGTCTGTCAGCAACTGTTGGCATTTCAGTCAGCATGCAGGCTTTTAATGTGCAGTGCTGTTTTTTTAAGGATCAGAGCGCACCTATGATGCACGGTTCCGTTGTGGCTTGTTTTGAAGGTTAGTTTACATACAATAATCAGCTATAACTGACCGCACAATCTAATAGGGTAGGCTAATGAAACAGAGCTCTGCCAGCTTTCCTCTCCTGCAGACATTGTGGATGCAGCACAATCTGGCCATGTTTAACAGGCAGGTGTTTCTTTGCAATGCACCACAAATAACGAGACAAGTGAAAGGGTGGTTTGCTGCCTTTTAATCATCAGTAGTTAACATTAGCAAGCTATAGACCGGAGGGAAACTGATTTAATTCACTGTGCCACACCAAGGTTACCAGCAGCTGCAGAGAACTTTTAAGGTGGAATGTTTTATTGTATGTTACTCAATACACGAGTTGATGTAGTGAACCAATGAACACAGCTTAAATGTCAATATGACAACTGGGACCATTGCTTTTGTTTTTATTGGCTCTCTTTCACGATATATGCTTTAGTGATGATTGTATCTTCAAGTGCTTAAAAAAAATGCGTGGGGGAGTGTTGTTCGGGTCCCGCAGTACTGCACCTACGCTTCTATCTAAAATGAAGGACCCCTTGTTCTGAGTTATAAATCTGCCACAGTTATCATTATTATAAACTGAATGTTTGATTGGAAAGCTTAACAGGAACGAAGGGAGGCGTGGTTTAGTGAAGTGTTGCTGACTGCAACATGTCATTTGATTCAGGATGGAGTTTTCACTGGCAGCAGCTTCAGTGGAGAAAACAAGTGGTAAAATGCTGACAGAGGACTCTCCTTTACCTCCTCCTTATCACAGCTGCTCTGTTACCACGTAAACCCTCACACAGCTTGTCCACTGAAAACTCTGCAATTATGAAGTTATTTATATAGTCTGCTGATAGCTGCCCTCTTTGTCCCGTCTGTCAGTTTTGCAAGATCTCAACAATTTCGTCACACTGCTATTTCTGACGTTTTCCTCCCATTTGCTTTCAAATCTTAACTGTGTCGCCTCTCCGTTTGTATCTGAAAGTGGAACACTAGCTATCATTCTCAAAGCTCTCTTCCTTTCACAGTACTTGTTCAATGCCTGCCACAAAAGCTCTTCCCTGACTGTACGAGACTTATTGGCTTTGGCAATTTGAAACCCCCAAAAAGATGCACACAGTGCTGTGTCTTTGCCATTGCCTGTCTTTTTAATTGGTTTTGTCTCCTTTGTCCCGCTGCTGTGAAAGAGAGAGAAAGGAATTAGAATGTGAAGCAGATGTGTGATTGTGGTGTGTTGCTTGGATGTTGCTAATTCAGGTCCCATCTGATGCTTCATGAAGCAGTGCCTCACATGCTATATATAATATAATCACTGTCTGACATTGCCTTACACAGTCACTCAGAGGTTTAAAGTGCAGTGTCTTAGAGAGCTCAGTAAACATAGTTGTTTATATAGTTTGTATAGTTATTCTGAATATGTTTGCTGAGAATCAACTTGGTGTTGATGTCTTACCTTTCTTACCTAGAAATGTGAAAGAAAGTATTTTTAACATTATGTGGCAATCTGAATCCTAGTTAAACACTACTTTACAACACTAGAATTTCATTATCTGACAACCCTCACTTCTCTAGTTCTATTCAACACATGATGTTGAGGTGAAGGTGAAAGCAGCCATGGATACAATTATTTGAATCATTATTTATTTTCTTGTGTATTAAATTATAAAATTCGGATTTAGGATATCTGACTAGGAAATTCTTAAGGACTAAAAGTCAAACTCAATTTAAATTAACAAACAAGAGCCATCATTTTTACATGTCAAAGACAATTTACTAATCATGATGAATACAACTCCAACTGCTCTAGAAGAGGTTCGACTAGTCTGAATAAAACCTCTGATAGCTTGGAAATGACAAACGTTTACCAGAAAGTCTGAGTTCCAAGCTAGAGGTGTGCTGGACTGTAATGGGATCGAGTGGATTTGGAGCTTAACCAAAACTAGGGACTGAAAGTCAGTATATCTCTGCCTCTGCTGCTTCTGTTTTGGCCTTTCTCTCACAAGTTCCTCAACTTCATTGACCTGTGATACGAAATCATTGGAGTACTTTTAACCATAAATGCGCTGGAATGAAGCATCTTGCATATCTAGCACATTACATACCTTATTTGAAATCTACACTGACTCATAGATCAAAGCTTCTATGAAGATTGTATCAGGAAACTGACTCCAGATGAGAGAAGAAAGCCAGATGTTGAGAGAGTTGAAGGAAACAGAGTGCAGAACAAGAGCTGCTCTGGAAGTAATACAGCAGTGCAGGAGAGAAAAAGAGAGAAGAGACAAAGATTACAAAGGCATAAAGAGAGAAGTGAGGAGGCGTGAAAGATGCAGGAGGCTGAACAGAGGGAGGAGAAGGAGAGGAAGGCAAATGAGCAATAGGCCCTAAAGAGAGAAGAACAAGAACAACTGAGAAAAGAGAGGCGTCAGTGGAAGAAGGTAATGATGGTGGAGAAGGAGACGACAATGAGTGATCTGAAAAAGGAGCAGCAGAGAAGGTGTGAGGAGAGTGGAAGATGAAGCCAGCTTTAAGTGCTTGATAGCAATATAGTAATCCAACACTCTGAACGAGAACGACTGAACGAGAACTAGCGCTATAATATAGGATGGGTGTTACAGGGACTGTGATATATACAAAGATATGGTAAGATTGAATGATGACATAAATGATTGCATTAAAAAGTAAACGTATGCATGGTGGTGCATTCTTCATACTTTGATAGTTGTCTAAAAATTGTTTTAATCTATCACTTTGCTTACAGTATCACAATATATTGCAATATATTTAATCAGAACCCCGGTTCATAATACATGTCACCAGATTCTTGCTGATACCCACCACTACTAGAGTTCAGTTAAATGTCACATTTCACAGAAATGGCCTTGTTGAAATAACAGGGATCATAATCTTTCCTTCTCCTTGCTCTCACATCATGAAAGCTCAGAGGATCACCAAAATCTTTAGAACTCCTCCCCCAGGTATCATTACATGATTACTGTAAACCAAATTCTATAGCAGTTTGGCCAGTAGTTATTGAGATATCTTTCTGTGTTGGGTGGGCTTTACTGTGTGTAAAGTGAACATGATATCATTATCCTAATATTTATTTGGTCATTTTCACAAGCCCTACTGATTTGGCAATTACACACAACCACAGTGGCTGTGTAATGGATATCATGTACCTGCACTGTTTGCACCATGAGCTCATGTTTTCTAAATTACAGGTCTTTCAATTGTTCACACCTGCCTTTAGTGTGAAGGTCTCTGTTCTGTTAGTTGGCCTGCAAAAGAAAGCAGAAAGAAACAAACTAATGAAACCTACAGCACTTTACAGCAGCAGTAGACAAATGGACAAAATTAGATCTTAAAATGGAAACACTGATTCATAGGTTTAGCCCTGACCTGCCATATGTTTTAGTACAATTTGTGCCTCATTTAATATTTAGGACAATATTTTCCCCTACTGTAGTATTCTTGTATCTCCCCAGGAGATCCCTCTGCAGGCTGGGAGCTGGCCAGCTACAGAGAAACAGAGAGAGCCAGGCTCTATTTCAATGACTCCTAATGAAGATTAATTCATGGAGAGGGCAGCCCTTTATAAATGATAGTTACTGTTATAAGTGTAAAGGCACAGACAGAAGAATTGAATGTGAAACCACCATGAAACACCATGAAGCTTTGTGATGCCACTTTTGCACACACAGGTGTGTGTCAGTACAAATTGATTTAATTTGAATCCAAAGTTTGATCTGTGCTATTTCTGTGTCACCTAACCCACTTTAATGTTATTGTATACAGTATATTATATATATATATATATATATATATATATTGTGTATGTGTTGTTTTCCTATGACTATAATTCACTGTACACTGCTATCTCCATCACTGTGTCCCCTAAAGACCCCATCCAGTCAGAAATCAGTGTTCCTTCTGGCTCTACAGTGTGCTGTTTGAATGCTGTCTGTGCAGAGTCTGACACTAGAAGGATGTTTTCACATTCATCTGGTGAAAGTGGAAAGTTTCTCTGTGCTCATTGAAAATTAGATTTTAAGGGGTATGAGCATGATTTGTGGCACAAGATAGTTTAGCTGTAAGTCCTGGTCCAGTATCAACTTGTACAGTGTGATGTAGAAACTTGAAGCCACCGGTGCACATCCACTGAGAATGGACTTTACAGTGAAGTAGGAGACCTGTCCAGCAGAAGAAGAATACTTGTTTAAGGATTTTAATGATGAAATTATACTTTAGACATTAGACATATCATTCACAGTTCCAAGCAGACTTTTTGTGTATAAGTATGTCTTGTACATGTCTGGAGGGGATCTTTAAGTGTCCTTCCAGTACTCTGAAAACTCAAGTTGCCCTCTGTGAGGTTGACCCTCTGAGGCCCGAGGGAGTGAGTGAACAATGAAGCTGCATATACTACTAAGCATTTATTGCATGGTTGTGAGAACCAGCATCATTTGATATTAAGAAACTTTATTTTAGGTTTGTGAATTCAAGTCACTCCAAGTTGCTCACAGAATGCAGTCTCACGTTATTTTTCTTCTTCTAAAAATCCAAGTTTACCACCTTTAAAGGAAACAGGGAAAATCTTCAAATTCTAACATTAAAATCCCACTCTCAGCAGCTCAGCAGTAATGGCTGAGGGACGGGAGACCACTTAACTGCACTCTAGTGACCACCTGACTACAAAGCCTCCCCCTGTAACAATCAGATAAACTAACATTTCTCCTGTGTTTGTTTTCTCTTTAGGTCTGAGAAAGCGGGCGAGATTGCAACCATTCCACTGACTAAGGTAAGACTCAGAACGTCTTTCGTGTGTTTGTACTAGGTGAGGTATAGGCCAGAAGACATACCGGTATTGTTTAGTTTAGCTTAAATACCCTACCACTTGGCTGACAAGGAGTATTCATAGATTGATAGATAGATGAATTAAATTGAATATATAGGAATTGGGGATTGAGTCATGGCGATCAGTACAAAAAGAGAACATCTGTAATTATCAACTAAAGGGAGTGTGTTTGATTCTATTCAACTGAAAGAGGATGCATCAGTTTAATATTCCATGGGTGCTTCATATGGTGCAGTCTTCAGACACCTGTCGGCTTATTCACTCAGCAGCTTTTACACGTCTGTGCCCTGGGGCCCGTTGGCTCATCATCTGTCCATGCCTATTCAACGATGTATTGCATGGGTTGCTACTGGAACCTTCTGCTGTAGTTTGTGGTGGAGAAAGTCAAGGTCATTTTCTGCAGGTACCTGTAGAAAATGACTTTAAGGGTTAAATTAAGCCTCATATCTCACTTCTTGAAGTATCTTGTTAGGTGCAATCAATGTGTTTCCTGAGCCTCACAGAACAGTTCTGCTATTATTTTAACAATTGTGCCAGTCCACAGTGATGTGCATCAAGAGTTAGGTTTTGTTTTTTCTTTCCTCTTCCTCTGGCAAGCTTTGTGAAGGACAGGAAGACATTCAAGGAACTCATTCCCCGATGTCTATATGTTGTGGACGTATTAACTATATCCATAATGACTATTGTGCTATTGTGGGTGGCATCTTTTTTTTTCTTTGTTTTTCTTGTAATTTCAATTTTCTTCCTGAACTTCATGGACTGTACTTGCTGATATGAGTCAGCCTGGTAAAGACCTGGCTTGCTGCGTACAGCACAGCTGGTTGCAAAGATGGTGATGCCATAATAGAGGTTGGAGTCAGTGGGGATTGAGCACTTAAGCACCGCTGACGTCCTGTGTCTGTTGGACATTTGGGGTTAGTTTTATACTCCATCAGATGAAATGCTGAAAAACTACTTAGGAGGGTTGTATCGAAAAGTAAAACATCAAAGCGTTCTCTCCACATACATCCTGTAGCGCTTTCCACACCACTTGAACAGGTGTGTGTATGTGTGTGTGTGTGTGTTTTGATAGAATACATAATCATTAGAAATGTTGGCTTAAACCAAGATTGATTTGTGTAGTCTGAGAACATCAGAATGGATAATTAAGTGTCTTTTTCACTTAATTTGTCTTATAATCACAAGTGATGGTAAATTATTTTGTTCCTCTTTTATCCATAGAAACCAGTTGTCACTTCTTAATGCAGTTTAGAATGTCTAATATCCATGCAGGTTGTTTAGTTACATATTCTCACTTTAAAACCTTTAACAGCTTCATAAAATGTGCTCATTAGACAGCAGTAGTACCTGTTGGTAGTGGTAATCCACTGGATCTTTGTTGACCTCCTCTTGTATTGTCTCAGTCTTTGTTGCAAAGTGGTAAGGTAGTACCTCTGTACTGTAAGTAGTGGAAGTATTTAAGTAAAATCCCATAATACAGTAAACTTTTTGTGTGTGTTAGAGGCCTACTGTAGTGCTCCTAAAGCCACAGGCAGGGCCAGACAGTGGTCTGTGGTGAAATCAACTGCAGCGAGATGTAGTCAGCCTCTGTTTGGATCAAGCAAATTCAATTCAATTACACAGGAAGCAGTGTTTCTACCCTGCTAACAACTTCCTGGGTTGCTAATAGAAACATGCAGCAATTAGCTGCAGTTCGGCCGGGCTGGCTGAGAGACTAATTGGTAGTCAGAGATCGAACAGTGGAGCTTTAGCCCTCTTAAAGGGAATGTAGTTCAGGAGGATTTAATGTGTTTCAAGTATATAAAGTTTCCTCAGCTTAACTCACAAAGAGCGACTTGGGTCCAGATCCACTACAGATTCACCCTCTGACTCTCCGATAAAACTGGTGACGGGACCCAAGTTGATTGTGTCCATCATGAAAATAAATGTTATACTAATGGAGAGTCTGCAGGTTTTCAACCAAAGTGGTGATTTCAGTGATGAGCACAACTTCAAAGAGGCAGCTAATCAGTGAAAACCATGAAGCTCTGTGGTCAGAACAATAACCTGCATAGATCAGAGAGTGATGAAAGCAGCTCCCTCAGCTCATCGACACGTAGTATCATTTTAATAAAATGCATTTCAGCATACCCAATAATCATAGCAGCAACATCCTGTAACTGTCAAACGTATAAACAAACATTCCCTTTCTGAGCATGCTATTTTCAGAACTTAAATTAGCCTGAAGATATTCTAAAGTACCAAAACGTGCCCCCACCTTCTTCCTTGTTGTGTCCTCATTTTCAACATCCACCAACATCCATCACCCTCCCCACCAACCCATGTAGATTATTAATGAACGTTACAGGGCGTACTCCTGGGTGGCTGAGCTGATCCAGGTCTTCATAGCCATCAGCGTCACTGTGTCCTTCCTGGTGATGGGATCGGCCATGAAACACACCAGTAAGTTTACTCCTGCCTGTGTGTCAATCAGTAATTCACCCTGTTAGCATTAATGCACATTTGCTGTTGCTGCCACAGAGACAATTAGAATGAAGAGAAAATTGCTAGGGTTACTTTTACTGTAGTAGAAAGAAAAAGTGTAATGTAAATACTAGTAGTATGAAGAATTAGTACTAAACTCAGTGCTAGAGCTATTCATTTTTTCTCTTTACTATGGAATTGTAATATTTAAAGGGACATTCACGTGTGTGTGTGTGTGTGTGTGTGTGTGTGTGTGTGTGTGTGTGCATATATACACATTTATTGCATCACAGATTGGCACCTCAACTCCCTGTTGTTTATTTTGCAATCTATACTATTTCCACACATCTGGTTCCCTGTGGAGTTTTTTCTTTTTGTTGTATGTCAATGAACCATAGGAGATTTTTTACATTCCAAAGAAAGGTGGGAAGAAGAAGACTACAAGCTAATAAACATGTATGCAAACAATACAAACAAACAATACTGGGTTTAATATGCTTAGAAAAAAGAAATGCATTCAGCTAGTTTATTAGACCTCAAGGATACACTCAGTGTGTTTTTTGTGAGTGACACTGAATGTCAACATGTTTACAAGAAAACTCCACAGGGCCCCTTCAAGCTAAGGCTGGCTGTAGCGTCATATTGAATGAAAGAGTGGTATCGATCATCAGATTTCACAAAATATAGAAGTATTCCTTTAAGCATCAGGTATAAAGTGTTTTGTCCTGACTGGTTGTGTTTCTTTCAGTTGATGGCCTGGTGAACTCGCTGTGGAGCAGCCAACTGGAGTGGTTGTCTAAAGCCTGGGAGAGAAACCTGCCGAACAAACATCACATCTGCTCAGCGAGAAGGTGAGTACTCACAAAGGGTGAGAGTGTGCGCCTTAAGGACCTTCAAAAGTGTGACCTTTATATAATGATTAATGTAGGAAACCGCCAGGAAATCTGAGGGGGAACACACTTGGGATGACTGAAAAAGCCCAAGAATAAGCAATAACAATTGAGGGATTTTTCTTATTTTCAGTACACACATCAGGTGAAAATAAGAAATGCAGTTGAGTCTCTTCATCATGTGTGTCTGTGCGAGAGGTACTTGAGAGTTAGAGGTTATCTAAGGTTTGATAGAAGTATACGGTCAACACACATGCAAATGTTTTTACCTTCTGTCTGACTAATAATAGTTGTGTGCAAATGTTATTTATATGAAATATATAGATATGAACCTGTCGCATGTGTGAACTGTTTTAAATAAAAACCGTTCCATTTTTACTGCTTATTCGAGGGCGTTTCTACAATTTTTTGTAAACAGCAGTAGTCCCATGTGCCCAAAGACTACATACAGTATAAGGAACTGTCTGTATCTCAGAAACTGCACAGAGTACAAACAAATATTTGATATCTATTGACTCGTAAGTTAAATGTTACAGATATGCACACATATGCAGTGTGTATAGTGTACTGTTAGATACTTTCCCAAAGTATGTTGCAAATTTAAAGACCAATCAGAACAATGCTCCTTATCATACTAAATATAGTGTTTGGGCACAAATTGGTTAACCTGTCTTATAAACATCACTTTTATGCAGCCTTACGTAATACGTATGTACCGTTGTCATGGTTTTGGTAATAAGAAGCAACACTTCCACACAGGGATTTTCAGTTATTCTAGATGGTTCCAGTTAAAGTTGGTTAGAGCTGTACTTGCGATTATATGGTGGGATGTGATATTTGCTTGAAGGAAAGCCAGCGAAATAATACCCTGTTTACATTTACAACAAAAACAAATCTGAAATTGCAATTATTATGAATATATATGTATATATATACACATATATTGGTGTAACATGCTAAAGATTTCAAATAAAATGGGAAAAACACAATAAAGCAGGAGTAGACATTCTAACGCAAAGGTGTAAGTAACATTGATGGCTGCCTTCGGTTCAAGTGTACTAATAGTAAGTCATGTCGGTGAGCCAGCATGTACAATAGCAGGGCACTGGGACTGACACACCTAAATGGAATATGGTCAATATTAATGTTATTGGTTACACCAGTGGTTCTGTCATGCATGGTAAAATATCATCTAAAGCTGTCGATAGAATGGAGCACATAGATCTATTAAAGACCTACACAAATGTTGTCCCGACCTCAGAGGGACGGACTGCGAAGCAAGTTTGACAAAGGCTTTCTTTGGTTAGCAGTCCTAATAAAACCTAAACCTACAATGAGAGATAATGGGCATCACCAACAGCGCTGCCCCCGACTAAAGATTTTCCTAGTAGTAGTCATTAAATAAAGTCAATAGTTGACTAATGGTAGCACGTTTAATATGAATTTATTATTAAAATATGTAGACAGCTGCCTGTTAAATGATAATAGAAAAAACATCTCGTTGTTGCTGCAAACACGATAAGAGAGGAACGCTGGCAGAAAATCCACTCGCCCCAACGCACTGTCAATGCCTCCAGTTCATTTCTAATGTGACAGCTGCAAATGTAAAGCATCCAAGCATAACGACACATCCAGAGCGGTGTAGTTGATAGATCAGAGGTTAGATTATAAACCCATCCAACCTTTTCCCTCGGCTGAGGATTTCTATTGCTCAGTGAGAATACTGTCAGGACAAGAAGTGAAAGGGTGATGCTTTTTTTCTCTCCAGCATTTTCAGCACATTTGATCATTCAATAGGCGTAACAGGCTGTGGGGTTTCTGACCCCACACTGAATGATCTGTGGGGTTGACTGGCGTGAATGAGAGCCGGTGAGCTAGCTAGCTAAACAGTTTTTGCTAAACTGCTAACCCGTCCAAGTTCTTCCAAGTTCTTCCTCCTCTTTTTGATTGTAGCGTGCATTAGTTAAGAAAACGTTGAAAGATTGCGTCAGATCTGTGATATGGCTGATGGAGATGCATGTGTGTGGCTGGGTGAGGGATCTGTCTCACCAAGTCATCTGCAGCTTCAAAGTCAAAAAGTAACAAAGAGCCCAATAAAGCCTGTGTCCAAATCCAAAAGCTGGAACTAAAAGTACTCCAACCTCCACCTCAGAAGACATTTTTAAAACTACAAATCATTTCATGCTGCAGCCGAAGTTAATTAGGCTACTTATTATACTACTGTCTTATCATAATTTCAGTTTAAAGCGAACATAAAATCTGTATTACACTGTATCTGTATTAGAGTCACTGCTCTTACACCATATCTCCCCAAAAGTCAGTCAAACTTATTTCACAGTCTGTTTACTGTTGGGTTCTCTCTCTCTGCCCACCACTGGCTGTCTGACCGTCCCGGTGTGTATTATCTAACCTGCAGTATATTTTCTATCTCAGTGCGTGACGTACCATTAATCTGAAACCGTTTTCAGATCTGAACTTGGACTTATTAAGTTGATTTCATACTCCTCTGTCTTTCTTGCAGCATGGCTAAAGGATTCATGTCGCTTCTTGGGTTTACTGTCATCTTTATCGTGTCAGTGTGTGATCCCAGGGTAAATGCACACACACACACACACACACACACACACACACACACACACACACACACAACTAATGGTGATGATTGCAGAAACTGAAGAACATCAGGATGCTCGTGTGGAGAATTGCCAATCACCAGTTTTCTTTCTCTCTCTTCAGGGTTTCATTGTCATGTTGGACAAAGTTGTGTCGTTCTCCCTCAACACTGAAGTTGGACTGTTTGTCTTCATCATGCTGAGAGAATCCAGAGAAGACAGATTCCAGTGAGTACTGTCAGCTACAGTAAAGGAGCTGTAATCACTTTTTGGCAAATACAAAACTTGGGTTGTAATGTCTTTTTAAATGTATTTCAACAAGCACAAAATATATGTATGGCCCTTTAAAGGTATTTCAGCAGGTAGATAATGTAAAAAATAAAATAAAATACAGGCAGAGAGTGGGGTCTCAGAGCCACACATGTAGTGGGTCATAAGTGATAAGAGTCTGTATATTGTTTCTTCAGTATGCTCATAAGTACGAACTTCATTTCACTGGTGTCCAAATTGTTTAAAATGTCATAGTTTTTCTGAAAAGAACAGGTGGATTGGTTAAGGAGAGAGTGTTTAGCTGCTTCCTTTCTAATTTCTTCCAATAAAGTGCCGCTGTAGTGTTTTGGCATAAAATGGTAAACTGTTGTTGTGGTTTGGCCTTTCGTTTGTTGTTTTTTGTGCTTGAAAATGCAAACTTTAAAACCAGAGGGGCGATCCTTTGGAAACGCCACCCTTACTGTGGCTGTGGAAACAGATATGGGCCCACTTCGTCCGTGACTGGTTTTCAGCAAAATACACCAATGCCTTCAAAAATATTTTTTTAATGATTTGATGATGATAATGATTTTCACCAATCAGAGGTTTCTTGAAATTTGTCCAGGATTAGTAACAACCCCATCCAGACAGAATGATTTATTTGTGAGGGTGAATTCGCCATGTACTCTTCCTGTTTATTCTCACTGTGCTGTGGAGGAAAGCGTTTGTATGCAGGCACAAACAGGACATTCCAATTTTCCTATAATTAGTACCAAATAACAATGAATGATGAACCTGTGAAATAAAACCTAAAAGCTGTTTGAAACACTGAAAATCAAGTTGTCTGAGTCTGAATGTGGAACGCTGCAGAGCTTGGTCAGTGAGGAGATTAAAAACAAGAACAAACAACATGAATAACATCTGTTGTGCAATAGTCCACAGTCAGATTTGTAATGAAATGTTCTGTGTCTCCGGTCCTTTCAGACACCTTGCTGTCCCTCTGCCAGTAGGTGACTGTGTCTTCAGCCTCAGCTGGATGCTCCCCACCTACTTCCTGTTTGCAGTTACGTACGACGTCCTGCAGACTCTGGCGGACGTGGCTCATTACCTGCATTTCTACAGCAACAGTGAGGAAGCACACAGCCACAATCTGACTGGGAGTTTAACGGCAGCCAATCTGTCCGTCCTGCTCTGATCCTCAATCAGCCAGAAAACAGACGGACCAGTAGGAGTTGGAATTGCCAAAAATCAGATGCTTAGCAAGTGCTTTTATATTGTATTCACACTTATCAAGCTCTTGATACATTTTGAAAATGTCAAACATAGGCATTATTTGTTTTTGATGGAATGTTTTTGCACTCTTTTTTTCTTTGTTCACTTGCGGTGGCCTCGCTGCGCATGCAAACTGTAAAATGTTTTAGTTTTTCCAGTAGTCTGGAAACCACCACACAGCAGGGGCCAGATGTATGAACGAGGCATACGCACAAAAAAACATCAAGTGTCTCCACCTCATGCATAGTTCAGACCGAGTGTACCTTTAAGGTGTAGATCAGTGGTTCCCACTAGGGGTCACCAAAGCTTCACAGGGTTGTGATGCCTTCTTGAAAACTTTAAACAAAAACAAATATACACATTAGGCCTGTATCTCAGTATATTGTTCATTTCTGTGAAGTATTTTATAGTTTAGATTATTATTCAAGAATAAAATCAACATATATTCACAGAGCCTCCGATAAACAGCCTCCTGCTGCATCTGTAAAATACACAGTATGAACATGTGTCAAAGGAAGAAGCCTATTAGGGAGGTATGAGGTTTTTAAAAAAATTAGGGATGTCCCAATCAAGGTTTTTTAGATCCGATCAGAGTCATTTGATATGTTATTATATACCATCTGGAGGAAGTTTCTCTTCTGTTCTCTCTCTCTTTCACACACACACAGCAGAGCGGAGGGTAGAAACAGTCAGAGTTGATGATGGCTGTACTGTGTGAGAAAGCCGATACATCGGGACATCCCTAGTAAAAATACATGCAGGCATATTCACTTCCACAATGATTGAGACTTTTAAAACGGAACCACGTGTTCACACAGCTTTGTAAATGTGATGAAATGCAGTTTTACCCCTGAAGAGTTGAATGCGTCTGGTCCCTGCTGTTGTACAACGCTAAATATTCAAGTTTAATAAAATACTAGATAATAGACTATACAGCAGGTTCAATGCAGAACACTGTTTATAGAGAATACAAATTAGATTTAAATGAACTTGTATATTATGTATTATGCTCAATTATTATAAAAAACTCTATTTAACAACTGGGGAGGAGCCCCAGGGTCGGCCGGTGTTGAGTGTATTTGTCTCCACATCAGTATGCACACTGAAACACACAAAGTTAGACTGCAGGGTTCCCATGTATGTTCACAAGCCTAGTAAGCTTTGGTTCAAGTATGAAGTCTCAAGGTAGAAGATGACATAACACCCAATAGAGATGAAGAGGAGTTATAGCGAAGGCCCACAGAGCAGCACAGGTCTGTTACATTCCCGTATGGGGGAATATATTATGCATTTTATTTATTGGGGCTTGTTTTTTGCAGAATTGTAATGTTTCATCATAACCCATTAAGGGTATTGTTTGGGTTTTTTGATGTGGGGTTGTGTGAGGTACTTATCCAGTCTACAGTAGATGGTGGTTGGCACGGACAGGAGCAGCAACACAATGTATTCTAGCCACCTAAAAAATCCTCAACATCTCTTTAAAGGTGCAGTGTGTAACATTTAGGAGGATCTATTGTCAGAAATGGAATATTCATAGATGTGTTTTTATCAGTGTGTAATCAATATATATCCTGACTATAGGAAGAATTGTGTTTTTGTCTCCTTAGAATGAGACGTTTTTATCTGCAGGTGCCACGAGTTGCCTTCCATGGAGATGACCGCCATGTTCCTACAGTAGCCCAGAACAGACAAACTAAAAACTGGCTCTAGATAGGGCCTTTTTCACGACTTTCGCCGTCACTGTAGTTTCACCTACACTCTTCACAGCCTGTTCTCATTCTCAGGTTGTCAAATAAAGACGCGAGTGGTGTTCAGTCAGTTGCAATCTGCAACTTCCCGACTAGATGCTACAAAATTTTACGCGTGTGCCATATTAAGACTATTTTTACTACTTTACCTTGCCGTCAGACAGGAAACTGAAGCACAGTAATTTCACCTCACAGGAGGTAGGTATGTGGCTAAAATCCGTCTTGCTGCTGTCCACCGCAGTACATTGCTTATCTTCTGTGCTCGTACTCCTGTCTGCTGCTCAAAACTATGGGCTTGCTAACCGCCATCTACTACTTACTATGGATAAGTACCTCATACAACCCCTCTGTATATGATGACATTAATATGTAAGATATATACATAAAACTTCAGCAGTAGTAAAAATGACATACTGTTAAATAAACTATAATAAATAAAAGTTAACAGAGCATCAGTACCGTTTTAAAACCCAGGTGTAAATGCTGTTTCCCACAGTTGAGGCAACTCTAGAAACGGCTCTGCAGCCATCCATCACTCCCAGGCATTCTCTGTACGCTGAACACGCAATATCATCAGGGTTGGGATCAATGATCTTTAGCCCACTTTTGTTATGTTTTATTCTTATCTTTGTTTAGAATGCTCTCTTGTAAGATGTTCTCTTAAATTTGCAAAAATAAGATTTTGGTGGACACTGATGAAGCCAATGGGTACTAATAAAATCGTGGATATGAACAAAAATAAGGAGACATTTGTTTGTACGTTGCTTCCTGCATCAGGCCCAATGTCAACTGTAAGAAATATTCCTTTCTCTCTCACTTTACAAACGTGCACTGAGAATAAAGCGTGTCCCTGGTTCTGCTATCAGCACGAGGGAGGTTCAAGCTCTTTCAAGTCAATGTTTTATCTGTCTATAAAGCCTTTCTTTTTAGTGCTTTGACATGAATCAAACATGGAACCGTGACTGACTAACGCCACTGTCAGTCGGGCACCGACACTACACAGCATGTCTACACACACACAAATAAAAACTCAAAACTCTTATCAAAATATATTTTATTCTGGACTTTTGTTTCACTGATCTGAGTTAAATGATAACAGATCGATGCGATGCGAGTTGCAGAGAGAAAACAAACAGAACAGAAAGGCTTGGAGACCCCATGGGAGAGATGCTGCTAGGCTGACAAGGACGCTCTGTTGTGGCGGCACAGATAAAGGCTGACTCAGCGACTTTGACCACGTTTATCCAGACACACTGTGTGGCACAGACCTCAGGATGGCATGAACGTGTGTGAGATATTTTCATAACTGTTGACTCTAAATAGGAACACATGGAATCTCTGTAAGTCTATTAGTAGAAATGTCCAATTTATTCCAGGGGATACAGGAGAAAATAAAGTCCATCTGTGGTTGTACAAACATTTCTCAGAAGCAGCGGGGCTCTGGAGGCAGATGTAATGTTCGTGGTTGAATTAAGCTTCAACTTTAACAAGCTGAAATAAAATGTATAATACATGGTGATAACTTTATTTTTTGTCCGACTCATTTTGAGTGTGGAGGATTTCATTAGCCTTTCACTGGGTTCTAACATTACCGGAGAGAACAATGGTCCTTTGGCTCCGGAGGTTTAACTCAAGTATGGAATAATATCGGTGCCTCAATGGTGAGTGTGTGATGGGACATTTTAAGCACAGAAACAGATAATCCCCCTACCCATGTTTTATAGAGTGCCTCCCTACTTCCTAACTGAGCAGTGATCCTGCTGGTGAAGACAAAACAGCCAATCAGAAATCACCCACTTAACAGATTGAAGGAGCACACAGAGAACGTGAGGATGCAGAGACACAGATCAAGTGCTCAAGGGTGTGAGAACAGAGAGAATCTGAGAGAGGACAAAGAACCACACAAACTAATTTACTGAGCAGAGGATAAGCTTTTGTCTTTCCAATTAGTTTGGGTGATGATGGTTTATTAAATATAAAAAAAAAAAAATCAAGTTTTCTGCACTCAGAAGGTCCCATTGTGCACTGACAATGTAGGCACAAGTTTATTCAACCAATGAGATTGTATCTGCTTCCAGAGCAATTTTCTCCACAAAACATCTGCGACTCCCAACTGCAGCAATGAAAAAAGGGGAACCAGAAAAAGTCCCTAGTCTTGGCTCAATTGAAAAAAATTACAACTTTATTCAATTTAAAGACTTACGCTTTTTTTTTTTTTTTTTTTGGAATAGTCTTATGTGTAAGCCAAGAGGAGTTTCAGGAGAACGTCATTTCCCCAAAAATATTCAAGCAAAAGAAAAATTAAAACATTTCTTTATTCAAACATAGACACATTTAGTGGTAGATTTGCTCCTGGGAAAACTGCTCCTCCCCAGGCAAGGTGCCTTCATAATGACGGCTCAGCTCAGTAAGCCTTACATTACAGGGTCAACCTTTACCGTCTGCAATAGCATCAAAGTAACAAAAGAAAATCTTTAAAATTTATAGAACATGTAAATTAACACTGCCAATAAATCATCAATTCACATTTGTTTCTCAAATCTACAAAGAAATTACAAAAATGTAACTTGAAATTTGTCTTTAAAAGAGTATAAAATGTCTCGTCAGAATAAAATGTGAGCAGGAGTTTGATGGAGGAGGACCCAGAATGGAGCTGAGGGCAGCTGTAAATACACTGCCGGTACAGCTCGGCTTTTTCTGTTTCACTGCTTTAGTTCACCAAGGCTGTCATGTTGTGGGTCTTTTTAAGTCTGGTTTGTTTGTCCTTTTTCACTTCCAATGGGTTCTAAACAACACAAATGTAGATATCCCCACACATTATGACAAGTATCTGGTAATAAAAACAGTCCAGATATTGCTCTAATGTTTTTGGACTTGATTCTGAACCCGTTTACCAGGGATCAGCAAGTAAGACTGAACTGGCTGCGTCTCCAGCCATGAGACTGTAGTTTGTAGTAGTTTTGTGATTTATGTCTGAAGGGGAAAACATACAGAATGCAAGGCCTGTCTTTCTCTTCCTATGTGAAGGCAGTCTGTTGACAGTCCCACTGAAGCCAGAGCAATGTGCTCGCTTGTGTTTTAAAAGAGTAAAAAGATAGCAGAAGACTGAACGTGAGTTACAGAGTGTGAGCTGCTGTGAAACGACTGCGTTATTGTTTGAATGAAACCTTCAACAGAGCAGAGCCAAAGAACACAGTGGACAAAGTTAGCAAAGTGGCTAATCTGAATGACAAAGACCAAACTTTGGTCCAAATAGAATTTAAAATTCCTCAGTGGTCCTGGCATTTGTCCTGTTCAGTCTTTACACGGCAGTTAGGAGACGGAAACATAAAGAGGCGACCTCAGACCGCTACGGCTTAACTGAGCCAGGCTGGGTCTGAAATCTCTCCCTATATGGTGCACTATGTACGTTTATCTCAGTGTGAAATGTGTACACACACAAACACACACACACACATATATATTAGGGCTACACGGTACAGTAAAAACGTCATATTGCGATGAACTCAACAGATATTGTAATGTGATTTACGGTTACTGTGTGAAGGATCAGTTTAATTCTCACTGGAAAAGTATTAAAAGCGTGACGATGTGCAGCTTATCGAGGTCTGCACCAAACTAAATGTTTGACCAGGTCGTCACTGCAGCACTTCATTATGATGCTGTTTGTCATATTTTACCTTTTATTGCACTTGGCCATATTGTGATTGCATAATATTTTGATTCATTGTGCAGCCCTAATATATAAAGCGCTCAACAGTCCCACTCTCTGATAGCAACACTACACTGCTGATGCAACACAACAGTCCCAACATCTGAATGTAGAGTGGACAATTTCATGTCTAACATACAGGGTCCGCAGGGTCTTACAAATTCTAACATCCGATGATCTGAATGCCTGAAAATGATTTAAAGTTACCTACAAAGTCACATTTTTCAGTTGCGCCTTTAAACTAGTTTAACTTTAACAACCACAAAACCAAACTGCCGTCGAACCAATACTGACTTTCCTTTGTACCTTTTTTGCCAGCATGGATGTAAAATAGGTCTTAATAACAATGTACAGACATACTGAGAGACAATTCAATTGCAGTGATACGGAAACTGAATTGTGATATCAGTGTGAAAATGAAACCCTATCTCAGAAATAAAAGAGCCTTCTATATTTTATAGTTTCTGTCTAATTAAGTCTGTTTCTAGTATGGTGACTTACATGAAATTGTGTTTTGATTGTATCGTTACATCCCTAATTCATAAAGGACTTAAAGTCTGCAGAACCCTGTATATCGAAAAGGGAGTGGGGGGGGTGATTCCAGACAGTTTGACTGTCTTGTAATGCTGCGTTCACGTCAACGCTGTTCAGATTTTTGGGCAAAACACTCCCAGATGTACATACCAGAATAATGCTCTACCATGAATGCAGTAGCAGAGCTCAGCTGGGCAGTCTGTAACATCTGACCTTTTCCTGTTTCCTTTGGCTCTACTCTCGGAGGTCGAACTCACTCGCGTCTTTTAGGCAGAAAGCTTCCACCTCTGACAATCTGTAAAAACTGGGGCAGTTAGCTTTGATGGTTTGAGGCCTTTGAGTGTGAATGAAATTACTGTAGATGATAAGAGTTACCTCACTGAAGCCTTCATCAGCATTGTACAGGAGGACACTATGCATAGTGCACCTCAGGTATTGAACTGCTGGCAGAGTACAGTCTGTAATCAGAGTGCAACCTGTTGCTTCACCTACCACTCAGAACAGCCCCGAACATTCAGACAAGTGGAAGTTGGCTTCTTGCCATTTCTTTTAAACTGCTATGGCCAAAGAGTCCAGAGAAGTGTGGGTAAACCATCTAGATCAAATAGTGCAGAGGAGCTGTTTTTAAAGCATCTAGATGTGCATCATGTGTGGCAGGCGGATGTACGGGGGAGTCCAGAGTCCGTCCTCTGGAGAAGGCGACACATTACTGACTGCATTCTGACCCACTGACAACGGCAGAAAGCACTACTGAAACACGTGAGAGAAAGAAAGCCTTTAGGTTTGCCACATTGAGACACTCTCTTGGTGTGTGTATGTGTGCCTGTGTGTGTGTGTGTGTGTGTGTGTGTGTGTATGATCTTCTCCAATTCATAAAACTCTGACCTGGCCAGCCCCTGCCCCCCCCCCCCCAAAGATTAAAAAATATAAAAACATTGAAACAAGAGATCTGAAATTTAAAAAAACTAAGTGCCATCCTATTTTATGGTGGAGAAGTTGATATGTCTGCACAATGAGATCCAACTAGTAACAAAGATCAACACTTTTTTCATTGTTTTTCATTTTGATGATGATGAGCATGGTTTAAAGATCAAAAAAGCAAAATAGCTTCCAAATTTTGGTACATATACGCATCTGGAACTTTTTTTTGTCTATCAGTTTTTTCTTTTTTTCACTGCGTCCCTTCTGCATCTCTGTAAGAGTCTGCACAGATAGAGAGGGGCGCGTCCGTCCGCCCGTTTGTCCGTCCATCTGTTTATCCCTGTGTCTGGACCTGCTGTGTCGGGTGCTTGCTTCCTGTTCCTGTTTCCTGCTTCCTGTCTGTCGGTGGGCGGGGCCGTAGTCGTAAGCGTGAGCAGTACGCAGGGCAGGCAGGGACAGTCATTTGGCTATGTACACATTCATGGTCGGTCCATGGCTTCCAACAAACAGCAGCACTATTTCCGAAGGTCTAGTACACACACCTGGGACAGAAGAGGGAGGAGATGGATCACAATCACAGCTACACACCAGCAGACATGCATCCAGACAGCCCCAGGTAGACTTACAGATCCATCTGACGCGCTGGCTCCCACTTTGTCCCCTGCTGCATTCCAGCAAACCTCGAAGATTCCCCCCGTCCCTCTGTAACTGTGGACTAAAGCGCCCGTCTGCGGCACAACACATAGAAGCAGAGAGTGAGGGGAGATAACAGGCAAAACATTCTTTTATGGAAACTCCATTTTCCTTTCTGCTCTATTGTCACCAATAGTGTCCATAAAAGCACAGAGTGCAGCAGGAGGCTAAAAACAGCAGTGATTGATTTCTTTGGCCACTCGGGGGCAGCAGTTGTCTGTCTGTCCACCGACTTTGGTTCTGCCTGCTGCTGGAAACTGAGTTGCAGGCAAAACCAGAACAGTGAGCTAAATGATGCCAAATGCTCAACAGAGGTGAACTGTAAGGTCGGGTGTCACCGTGAGCAACCATTTACACATTGGAGCCATTGTTAATATGAAGTATTGATGGGTGCAGCTTTAAAGAACTCTCTCTCCACTCTGTCACCAGCTGCTTACAAATAAATGTACAGGCACACACCATAACAAAATGAAAAGCTGAGATCAGTCAAATGACTTATGTGTTTCCTACCTGTGTATTCCAGATGTGCACACATTTGTCAAAGGAGCCGCTGGCCAGATGCCGACCATCGGGGCTGAAAGCCACGCTGTACACCGGCTCCTGGTGTTTAGTCAGCGTGTGGATGCAGATGCCTCTCTCCACATCCCAAAGACGAACTGTGGAGTCAAACGACGCACTGTGGAGGTAGGAGACAGACACACGGGGTTATAGAGGAGCTGATCAGGACACTGTGTTCGCTCTTAAAACAAGAGACAGATGTTTTATTAACTTGAAGGCAGAAATGGTAAAGACTGTATGGTGAAAACTAGGGCTGCACAATTTTGGCCACAATTATAATCATGATTAATTACAGTACTATTATGCTGTTGCACTAATACTGTGCATTAGGGCTGAGGGATATGGTAACATTTTCCAACCAGCCACTGTCTTTTATTTTAATTTATTAAAAAAATATATATTATTTGTATTATTATTATTATTATTATTATTATTATTATTGTTATAAGTATGCGTGCTGAGTGAGCACTCCCTAACCCCTGGGGGGATGAGTGCAGAGTTTGTGCAACAAGCTAGTTTTAACAAAATAAACTGACCAAAAGTCAAGAAAGGAAAAACACATATTCTTCATTAAACAGAAACTACAACCGTACAGCTTCTAAATTCAACTTTCTCTCTTATACTGAACTAAGACCTTGAAAATATTGTGGCTCTCTGCACTGTCGCTACCCTCGCTCCTCTACCCACTTCATGCCTCCCCTCTCCTCGGTCCCCATCTTCTTCTTGTCTTGTTTGGAGCCTCTCTGAATCACTGTATAACTGTATTTCTTGTCATCAAACTAGTTGAAATAAACTCTTTTACTGCACTAAGATGTGAAAATACACGTCACTGAGTGGCTCTCTTTCTTTGGAAGGAGACCATTAAATTAGCAAAATAAAATGACAAAAATCACCCCAAAAAACAACAGGTGATGTATTCAATCAACCCTACTGCGCATTACGTCAAAATAAAAAGACAACTTGTGTTTCCCCAGTTAAATGCTTTTAATGTGAAGCATCATTAACACAGCACTTTATCCCAGAATAAAAGTATGCAGAATGCAGGCTGTGTGTGCACAGCGGCATGACAGCCCACTAAAAGCGTAACCAGAGCGTCTCGATCACCCGTGGTGGCTGGCTGTTAGTTTAGGAAGCGTTTCATTTGATATGCAGCAGTGTACACATTGTAAACATAATTTATTGTGCAGCCCTAGTTAAAACCAAAATGTGTTTTTTTTTAGTCCAGCTCACAAACAAAATACTGTAAAACAGTGCTCCATTTACCTCACATTATTTCTGATATTTGGTCATTAGATGCTAGAAACAGGCTAGAAGTTTGAGAAGAGACAGTCCAGGTCACAGTCACTAAATCCAATTTATCAGCAGGAAAACTAGCCAGTAAGCTAATTGAGTAAAGCAAATGAAGTCAACATTGAAGTACAAACTGCTACACACACAGCTTATACTACACTCATTTATTGTGTACAGCAAGCTCAAAGGCCAGAGTAGGCTCCTTCTCGGGTATCTAACTAGCATACTGATGTTGTATGTCATAACACATGCAGACGCTCACCTGGCTAGCATGAGGTTAGCACTAGGATTGTTGGTTCCAGGGCCAGTGGGACTCCATTTAATGGTGTAGATTTCTTTACTGTGGGCCTGCAGGTCATGGACACACGAGTCCTGCTTCATACTCCAAATCTGAAACAACACAGAACCCCAAAGTAAAAAAACTTTATCCTTGATAAACTGTCAAACTGTAAGTGCATTACTTACAAAGTGTCACCTGGTCCTACTTCCTAAGACCATTCAAGCAACACAAAGTTTTGGCTTTTTACAGAGCAGCAAAATGTTGGGATAGCATCTTTAAATGACATCAAGAGCACTTCTACCAAGTGTACGGGCCAGTGAGATAGACTTTAAATAATCTCCAGTCATCATGAACACATCAGAACTTTCTTTATGGCTCTGCACTGTCAGCCCAAGGGTAGCAGCAATAGTGATATTAATGGCACAAGGTGTCCAATATTTCAGTGTCGGCTCCCAGCTCACCTTCAACGTCATGTCGTCTGAGCAGGAGGCTAGCAGGTTCCCTGTGGGATCCCACTTGATTGCATTTACTTCATTCTGAAGAGGAAGAAGAGAGGGATGAAGGGGCGTCTGCTTTCAACAAGGACGCCGTTTAAAATGAAGGTCTAACTGAATGCAAAGAAAAGGGCTAAACTGATGTTGATGTCATTTGTTATTTAATGCTTGTAATAAATACCCTCAGATCTCCTGTGGGTGCTTTGAAAACAAACCACTTACTGTGTGTCCCTGGAATGTTTTAATGGGTCTGTCCTGTCCCAGTTTACAGACGTGGATACACATGTCTGTACTACAGGAGGCAAACGTGTTGTTGCTCTGCCAATCCACATCTAGTGCTGGAGCTGTGGGAGGTAGGAAGATGGATGTTAGCAGGATCAAAAATATACTGTAAGACATTACATCAAAAGGTCAAACTCTGTCACAAAGACAGATGCTGTCCTACCTGAATGGAAGGGAAACTGTTGTTTGGCTTCTCCTGTGTGGGCATCCCATATGATTGTTGTCTGGCAGGACACATGTACATGTACGGTTAATGATCAGAGGATACATGATGATCAATATGTTGACAAAATGATTTAGTGAACATCCTGCTTCACCTTGTCTACTCCTGCACTGAGGATAAAATTGCCTTTTTTGTTCCACTTTAGGGCAAAGATGGGACCTTTGTGTTGGCCGAGTGTACTGGCCAGGTTTCCTGTGGAGGAGAGCACACAGACAGGGAACAAAATCTGTAAGTATCAAATGTGGAATAAGGCTCTTAATAACACAACACAAAAAATACACTGCAAACCCAATGGCGGGATGAGAACATGCCTCTAGGTGGCAGTGTTGATCAAGGTTCAACAACACCATGTGGCAGAAATACCACAGCACAATCAATACTTAGCACTTAGTAATATAAACGTCTTCTATACAGATATTTGTATATTAAGAACAATCATTTGAAAACGTTTCCCTAAATCTGTAATAATGCAGGGTTTCCTTCACACTCATGTTGAATGAATTAAAGTCATCTCACCATCCTTTGTCCATATTCTGGCAAAGCCGTCATAGGAGCCTGTGGCTAACAGTGTGCCCTCGCTCTGTCCGAGAGAAAGAGAAATAAAGATTAAGAGAGTGTGTGTGTCAAGGCCAGTTTGGAGTTGCAGTATTTTTCTCACACAGTCTAGGCTGAATGAATATTCAGCTGCTAATAGAGGAGAGGCCTGTGTTTTCCATCAGCATGGACGCTTTCCAGGAATTTTTTGCCTCTGCCCTTGGCTCAGGTTTACAATCTGTTGGCTGAACTGAAGGAAAATTCCACTCTCTGATACCCTTCCACTGTTAACAGTTATGTTCGGAGTGCTCTGGGAGTTCCTCTGTGATTAGGTGTTTGTTGTAATTTGCCTTATTGGTATACACCAATAAAGCAGATGAAAAAATATAGATAAAACCATTAAAACTTTGACTGTAAAGTATCATGGAAAATTCAGAAATATTTCTACCACACACACAACTTTGACCTGCTCCCATATTGTGAATTGATGTACCCATACAGGGTGACACGTGTTACATCAAGTGTGTTAGCGTGCTTACATTCCAGTCTAGTGAGGTGACATCTTTGTTGCTGGGGACATCCTGTCCTCCCTCTCGTATGCAGTGTCTCAGGACCAGCTGTGTGGAGCTGCTCGTGCTGTTCTCACTCAGATTCCAGATACGAGCTGTTGAATCACCAGACCTGAGACACATGGACATGTTTCTGATGGTCATACTGGGCCTACTAGTTGTTAGACTGTGGCCACATAAACCACTTTCCCCTTTAAAGTCATTTGTCAGCAAGTCTCTCCATTATTTCAAATTGATTTTAACAGTTGTTTAATGTGACGTTGCCATTTTTCAGCCCCATTATACGGTAGCTGGGCATAGGTTGAAATATCAAGAAATCTGACCCAAAATTATTTCAAATGTAAAATTGAAACATGTGCAAAACTTTAAGCGACTTGTTTCCACCTTTAATTACCTTGTAATCATAATTTATACAACTGAAATGCATAAAACAACACAATCTCATATTATCACACAAAGATTGGCCAGTATCATATGCATGTGTATATAAATATTCAGTATTAATAAACAAGCCAACAGCGCTCTGTACAGCATGCAGTGTCTCTCCTGCCAGCTGCTGACAGCTGAAGAGCCGATCCCACAGCACGGTAGAGGAGATGCTGTTACACATCTGTTTAAGCAGGAGTTTAGCCCGCCAGAGTCAAAAAAACATTCACTCTGCTCCTTAAAAAAGACTGGCGTAAACTCTGTAAACAGACTGAAAGTAAAAAAAAATATATGATGCACTGATTAATTCATTGACAGATAATGAACCACAATTAATTGTTAGAAATACCAAGCCAGTTGCTTCCTATCACCTCTCCACCAGGACAGTCCTAATAAAGAAAGGCATGAAACCCCAACTAACACATAAGCATTTAAGTACTGTTCACTTGTGTGAGTTATAGAGCAAGAGAGAGAGAGAGAGAGAGAATAGTAGGACTAACCCCGATGCCAGCAGATCGCTGACTGGGTTCCAGGCACAGATGAAGACCTCTGATTCGTGGCCCCTCAAGACCATGGCCTTGTTCTGGGGAATCTCCACATCTCCGTCCACCTCCATCAGGTCTGCGTGGTTGTCTGAGCACACACAGCGAGATGGCAGCATGAGTATAAAGGTATATTTCATTTCTAACATGTATTATAGAATATTTTTGTCAAACTGCTACTCTCAAGGTCAAAAATGACCTTTCATCCATAATGAAAGTGCTGCTTATTGCAGGTAGCGAACCTTCCCTGCACGTCCTTTCCTATTTGTAAACACATTACTCACTAGCTAAGGCGTGGGCTCCGTTCTCCTCCCCGTTGGCAGTATTCTCTCCATTCTTGGCATTGCCAGCGATGCTGCCTCCGGTGGCTGATGTTGGTGCTGAAGCGGCAGCCTGCTGCTGGGCCATTTTGTCCCGGTAGGCCTGCTGCCTCGTCTGAACAACGTCAGGCATCACCGCATCAATAAGGGACAGAGACTCTATGGGCCGCCCATCAAATAATGTGCCGTCCTACAGAGTGGCAGAAATAACCAGTTAGAGAGGAGACACAGGAGAGGAGAGCACAGTTTGTATTATCTTGTTAGTGTCCCACCTCATTGATGCTGACTTCAGCCTCAACGTACTGCAGGCCCTTCTGGATGATGCTGATGAGGGCAGCAGGGGGAACCAGAGCACCATTTATGTTGGACTGGCTGATGTGGCTCTCTATACCAAATGTAAATGCTGAGTGGGAGAACCCTGCAGAGGAAGAGAGGGAAGATATTTTGAACATTGAAAGGCAATGAATCACAGGAAAGAATATTTCCCTCAAATTATTATTAACACAACATAATTTATTAAAGGGTATACACATTTTGTGTTTTACCTACTGCCATAAAAGTATATTTCTTCTTACACACTACTGCATATATTCTTTTCAATTCAGGTTCTGGAGGTTACAACAGAGATTGTTTGTATTGCAACCTCTGGCTACAACTGCCACCCAGCATACTAACTGAACTGAATTCCCACCATCAGACATCAGTGTTTTCACAACAAAAAAATGCCATTAGCACATCCATATAATGAAGTACAGTGTGTGTTTATATCAGTTATAGCATTGTCCAACGCTCATGATGATTCTAATTTGTAAATGGAAGATGATGGGAATGTCCTTTTTAAACCCAACTTAGCTTTAACACGTTTATTACATTCACAAAATAGATTCCAAATACTTCAACAGTCATGTTCAGCCAGTACTTTTGAACTTATCAAAAGCAATTTCACCACATCTGCACCAGCTGAGCTCAGACCCTCCATTTATGAAAAATGCACAACATGATAACATGGATGGACCACAACCAAGGCCTGTACTCCACAGCCGATAAATCAGCTTATACAATCACATATCTCTCACAGACTGCTGATTGCACATAGCTTTTTATCTGCACCTCTTAGGTGTTTGAATGAAAGCTGGGACAGCAATACCACCATGGAAGGATTTTCTGATCATCACATAGGCCATCTGTGTCTTCTTACCAAATATATTATGTAATAAATATAATACGGGTCAGGAAGGTAAGTTACAGACAGCACAATTTTCAGTGATACACAGCAGCTGCAATGAGTGTCTTCTGCAGTGATATGGGGGGTTTGGTTTACATAGCCAACCACAGTTAAAGGTTACTGTCATACCAACAGAGCTCCTCACACAAAGGGCAGGAAGCTGTTATTAATGTATAGTTAGCCATACTTGTAGACTGAATTCACTCCTAATGTGCCGGTCAGCACTTTGCATGGCAGCAACTCTTTGTAAAGCCTTCAGCAATGTTCTTGGGGTAACGGTTCTGTATATATAAATGCAGTCTATTTACCATCTGATTTAGTGGTGGATGACTGGCCATTACTCTGTCCCACTGTATGGTTCATTCTGACTGAGTGGAAAGAACTGTACACACACTGCAGACACACTGTGCTGTTCATACAGCTCTACATGTATATACAACTCTGCACTACACTGTGGTGAAAACACAATGTGTGTAGGTCAGCATGTGCTATGAAAGGCACAAACCAACATGCATTTTTCAGGTGCCTGTTAGGTGCTACACCAATATTACAAGCATATTAAAGTGAGTTAGTGATAATATGTTCTTACATTTTATTTATTTATTACATTTTAGACATGATGGAAACAAGGAGTTGAGAGAATACCTGACTCCTGTAGGTATCTGTAGACCAGGAAGTTGACCTCATCACTGCTAATGCTCATCTTTATTCCTGTTACACCATGAGGTCAGCACGCACACACCTAGCCTGGAAAACAGAGAGATTCATCAGTGAAGGGAAACATCATTAAATCATTAACATCGCTACAGCTCAATGCACATGATACATGCACACAATAATATAAATAATGTGACAGCAGTACAGTATAAATTCAATTCAAAACTAAAATTATTATGGAAATGGAAGCTGTTGAACTGTTGAACTAGTATATGCCAAAGTCTAGTCTAGTTTAAGGTCTACTAAAATGTGTGCAATTATAAAAATACAACATTTTAGTTCTTACTTTTTAAAAGGCTCATATTTAATGGTCTTCAGATAGAGCAGTTAGTTATATAGTAAATGGCAAAACATTTAAACCTGCTCAAACTTTTGCTGGAATGCCATCCCGCAAGGAACTGTATTGGCCAGTCAAATACGAACAAGCACACACTCTTGGTCGATTACTTTGTAATGTGAACTCTTTATTTCTACTGTTGCCTCACAATCATCACAACAAAAGATAAAAAGAGCACTGCCATGGTAATTTTCCAGAGCAGTAAAATCCTGTCTCAGAACATTAATAACCCCTTTGCAGTGTTTCTGTTAAACTGGACTTCGACGATCATATTGCATCTCACTAGTACCTGAAGCAACAAAGTCCCTTTAAGTAAATCAGTTTCTGTCTTAATGCCTGCAAGTAAAGTTTTTTTTTTTACAGTTCTATCCGATTCCAATTCCTGAATTTGATATATGTCGATACTGATGTTGGCCACATTACAAGTCAGCCTACACCACGTTGTTTCAAGGCTAAAATAAACTAAGAACATATTAAGTTAGCCATATCTAGTTAACTCAGTTGCAGACTTGTGTTATGTTAAGGTGGGTTCATGGTTCAACACAAGCTCCGCCTGTACGTCTAACAAAAACAAAAAAAAAATGTTTTTGTCTATGGGCTTATGTCATTATCCAGCATTATTAGGTTACATATTTATCATAAAAACATCAGATTATGGAAGCTGGATTGGTGGGGTCAGTCCTATATCTGATGAGGGCGCCAGCATCGACATCCAATACCAATGTTAGATTGGATCGCTCCAAGTCTTTCTTTTACTGGGTTTTTTTGTTTCACTATCTTAAAGTAGGGTATTAGGCAGGCGGGTTGTCCACTAATCAGAAGGTTGGCAGTTTCGATCCCTGGATCCTCCTGCTGCGTGTATCAAAGTGTCCTTGAGCAAGATACTATACCCCAACTTCCTCCAATGCTTTGCATTGGTGTGTGAATGTGGATTAGTTTCTGCTTGTGATGGCCTTTGCCATCAGTGCATGAATGTGTGTGAATGGGTGAATGTGGCACGTAGTGTACAGTGCTTTGAGTGGTTGGAAGAATATAAAGGCGCTATGAAGTCCATTTAACATTCAAAGTGTGCTTTCTCAGTCCCAACCCGATTCTCACTCATAAATCACTGACCTCCAAATCATTGAATGCACTAAATTGGGTACCAATCCACTACAAACTACTTAACTGAAAAATACAAGGGGACAGATATCACCAGGACTGGAACACTGGACAGGACTCCTGTGGTAGGACCTGTTTGGTTTGTGCAGCCAAGCACATGTCAGGGGATCATGATTCATTTTGCTTTTGTCTGTGACTTTATGAACTAAGACGGTTGGGAACCACAACTTTAAAAGCTCACTGAGAGGCAGAGAGCCGGTTCCAAATACGGACCAGCTCAAAGCCCATTTCCCCTGAGAATAATCAGCCATGTAATGCCTGGAGCTCAGTGTCTGCAGCCCCCTCTCCCAAGAGAAGGAGACTTTCTGTGCATTTAATGGCATTTAAGTGGATAAAACACTCTCCGGGGTACTGTGAGCGCTGGGTTGCATTTCATTTCCCAGGATGTTAGACTTTCGTCGTCTGGCACAGCAAAACATTTAGTATGACCTGTGGCCTTTGCCCTGCAGAATGTCACACTCAGGGGACCAGAAAGTAGTCAGGATCGGACTGTGTTAACATTAATAGGTATTAATGATCTTCAGACAAACTAACACGATAAACAAACTATATTTTCTTCAGGAAACTGTGATCAACATTTTTCAACATTTTGTTAGTTACAGCCCTACTAAAGTAACTCCGGAGACCACGGACAATTGCTGCTCATCTGTGTAGTCAACCAACACCACCACCACCACCACCACCACCACCACCACCAACAACAACAACAACAACAACAACAGCAGCAGCAGCAGCAGCAGCAGCAGCCACCAGACTCAGAGCCAGTTGCATCACCTAGACAAGAGAATAAGCTGCCATTGCTGAGGCTGTTGAGAGATCTGTGCATGACCCACGAGACGGGCAAGAACTCTGTGGTCAAGACAGCAGAAGAGGAGTTGATACTGGCTCACCGATACTTATCTGTGTCTCTAGTGAGAGACAATTGTGTTTTCCATAGACATCTGTAAGCCAGCGGGTTGTTGTGAGGGTCAGATATACAGAAAGTAGACAAACTACAACAACGCGCCTTAGATGAGGATTTCAGCTCACAATTACAAACACTGTGACACAAGTAGCTCAGTGCTGACTGGCAAGATTTCATGATGTTCAAATGAGTCGTCAACCGCCCCATGAAACACCAGCATTGCTGACATACTGTACTCTTAATTAGGCCATTATTAAACCAGAAGCAGCTGTCGGGCTGCTTTCACTTCCAATTTACAGAGGTTCCACACTGCAAACAGTTCAGCTGCATATTAGCTTTAAAGCATACCACACACCAGCCAGTTAGTGTGTGTTGATGACAGAAATGTATGACAGCCACTGTTGAAAATACTGCAGCAGGGTGAAAATAAACTCCAATAAACTTCTGTCCAGTGCCAGTTCATTAAGACAGACTTGACTGGCTCTGAATCTAGAGATCTCTAGTTATCCCTCAATAGAAATAAATACACCGTGACCAGACACATGCAAACTGTTATGCAATGCAGTGAAACTCAGGAAATTATTTTTGAGGCTGTAGCTTATGATGTGTATTAGAGAGCAGTACTGTGTGTTATATATCTTTGAATCGCCTTGAATAAGTGGGAATGATATCAGTAATAATCATTCAAAAGATATGCCCAATTAAAAATCATGACAAACAATGACCATAGAGTTGAATCAACACACATAAATACATTTGAAAGAAGTGTTTGTGCAGGGTGGTTTCGATTGTTCTGTAAACTCCACTTCAATACTGCCTTAATGCCACACGTGGCTTAGAGCCAATGTTCAACATCCTGACATCTGACCAAATTCAACTCCAAATGAGAAACTGAAACAAATGACATAATTACAGCTGAGTTGTCAACTGTCTGAGGCAGGGTGGGGCAGAAATTCTCTACATCACCACTGAGACTTGATCTAAACTTGATAGTGTTCCTCTTAACCTCACTGTATGTGAGGGGAAAACAGCCAAGAAAAAGTCTCAGTGAGTCGTTTTTTGGACTTACGGAAATGCTATTTCTTGCATTTTGTTTTTTCTTTCATGTTATATCTGCTTTTCACATTAAAAAATCACTATCTATGAATCAGGGATTGCATCTGACCAACTCAAAAGGTAGAAAGGATCAGATGTCTGGTGCTTATAAATCACCCAATTACAATTATGTAAGCAACCATTTCCACACTACACTGACATGCAACATTATGTCCATTGCTTTACACCGTGTCTACACAGCCTGCATAGCAATAGAACATTTACACACAATGTGAGCTGTTACCCACCCTGTAGCCAGGATTTCTACTGAATTTAAGCTTCCCCTGGCATAGTACAATATAAAGTACCTATAATATATGGAGCGATCTGGCACCTAAAACAAGTCGTCTAGTCTCTTGTTCAACCTTAAAACCTATGTTTGTACATTTATTTCTGATAGCGATTGTGCATGAGGGCATTAGTTTTTGTTTGTAAAAATAATGAGAATGATGACAATTGGTTTGAGTTCTCTGGTTATGTGAGGGGAGGTGCAGTGTAAGCTGCAGTTCTTTTTTGATCCTAGAACTGGGGGTGCCAAATTCAGTTTTTTTTTATTTTTTTATTTGACAGATAATAGCTTTAAATGAGCAATTACTAAAACCTTTGTATGTAATATTTGTCCCATGTTTGACTGCTATCAGCCTATTGGGAATAACATGGCATTCACCAATGTCTGTGGCCAATGTTTATCTGTTGTGTCACATCTATTGTGTGCTGGTTAAAGGTTGTATTGGTTATTTGATGTGCTCCATGCAGCAGTACGGACAGTGAGTGGCTCTTAAGCTCAGCGTCTCACATCTTGGATGAAAAGAGAAATAAACTGAGCTGCAACAAGGTGTTTAACTTTGTAGATTTCTTTGTTTCCCTGGCACAAAGGGTGAATAATCAGAACAAAAATTCGGCACTGGCATCAGCCAGTTGTTATTTCAGTTCGGTATTGAGTGCTACCCTGCACAGTCAGAGGAAACTATACAAAGTGATTCTCTCAACCACCCCATGAAACACTAGACATTAGTAGAGACAGATTTCTGATGTCATGGTCTGTGGTGGTGGGCACAGATTACATTCAGACGGCAGAGCATCCAAACACAACAGCAGCTAATTTGATCAATACACTTCAAACAAGATGGGAGGCAGAGTAAAGAGTAAAGTAAAATCACCTGCTGTTGTGTTCGGTTGAAATGAAAACCTGCAGACTGTTGAGTCACAGGTCACTAAGAGCCTCTGCTCAAATCCCATCTGACAGCAGCACTGCCCGGGGAGGACCACAGGTTTGTAAACAGAAAGCTGCAGTTCCCTCCACCACATCCCACTGCAGTGGCGCTGTGGAGCCACCATCTGCAGCCAGCATCATCTGTGTTGACAGTGTGGGAGAACAGAAGGGGGATGGTAGAGGAGAAGGGAATCTCTGTCTCTGCATTCTTCCCTCCGCTCCCTCTCTCTCTCTCTCTCTCTCTCTCTCTACCCTTGTGACTGCTGCCAGTGGCAAACTGGCCTGTACAGTAAATCTTAAATCAAGTCACAGCTCAGAGAGAGAGGGAGAAACAATCAATCAACACCAAAGGAAAACCAGGACATGACAATTAAATACATGCAGCATACAACCCGTTACCTAACCATGGCGTGTTACTGACAAAGACTGAATTCATATTGATGAGAGTGATGGAGGCTCTGTCCCTCACAATATGAAATCAATATCACTAAGTAAATCATATTTGTCTTGGGTTATCAGCCGGCATACATAATTCATTAAGTCTAACAGAGGCTAATGAAACATCCAATCAAAGGCTTTAGCTCACTCAGAGAGGTGTGATAGAACTGTAACAACACCTCATCTAATATAACTTGCTGTCACAACACATTTACCTTTCTCTACATCAAATGTTATGCTTAGCATTTTTTCTTTGTTAGCAAGAAAGCAGATGTGATAACATGATAAAGCATGTTATCGCAATAAAGCTGGATGCCACTTTTTCTTTGATGATGAGGGGTGTAAGAAAATATTGATACAATATGTGATATTTAGTTTTGTGATATTGTATCGATTCCTAAACCCACAATCGGTAGACAGCAGTGCTGTGGTAGTATGTGATTGGTAATTTTATTTTAAATAACACTAAGGCATTTCTTATGTTCTTAATGTTAAGATCAACTGTTACCATTATGTTAATGGAACAGTCTACATGTTTGAAAGGGCCTCTTTAAATGGCAGGTGCATGCCCTGAAACTCAGCTAGAGTTTCAACTGCCACTGCATCGTGTGTTCTTTTGTCTCTCCCAGTCTGTGATGATAATATCCACCATGTAGGTTTCATGTTCTCTGAAGGTTTTACTGCATCAGTACATAAGGCTGTGGTGGCTGCTGCAGTGAGTCTACTCTGCAGGTGGAAATGGGGCTCATTCCTATTTAAAGGATCTGTCTGAGACCTGACGGTTTGGGTCTATTTTCAGAAAGTAGCAGAGAGAAATTCAGGCAGCGGGGGATGGGATGGTTTAGGGCTGATATTTTTCATAGTCTCTCACTCTAAAATGCATCCAATTGTCCTGTCCCCAGTTAGAGTCACACATGAAAAATAGATTCTCACTTACACTGCTGCCACAACCAGGCACAATACGCTCTGAACAAAAGCCAGAGATGGTTTATACCGTCAGCCTGCAGCAATCCACAGCTATGGCTATAAACCTGACAAAAGAACCGCAAATGTGCAAAATGGGGAACTGTGCTACGGAAGTATACCTATGGTTACACCAACCTTGTTACTCATTTAAGAAAGTAGTGTGGTTCAAGGGAAACTCCACAGCTTTTACACATCAAAGTCTGGTTACAGGGAAGTCCTACAGCATTTGTTACAAGTTGTAGTTTACATCCATGTCTGTCTAGACACGTTGAATGTATGTAGTGAAGACTTTGAAGGATTTTCAGAAAACATAGATTTTTTGGCAAAATGGCAGTTATCAATATGGACCGCAATAACAATATATATCATGACATAACACATTTTCTGTAAATTCCATAAATAAATAGTTTATATAAAATGACCACATGGAAATCTTATTACATTTTCAATTATATACTTAATATATAAAATCTACAAATAGAATATACTTATATTTGATTATTTTTCTACTTTTATTTAGAACCTTTGTGCAAATTTGCAATTAGGCATGTAACAAAATATACAATAATAACGTCTCAGTGTCTCCCACATAAGACTGTCCTTGGGCAAGCCACACAGGTATAACATCCAGCAACCCATTTAAGAATTTAAACACAGACAGGGACAGACACAGAGAGAGAAAAGCGTATCTGGTATTCAGATACAGTGGATGTTTTACAACAATGGACTGAGTAAAGAGAGTGGTCCTTGGGGCCAAATCAATAAAAAAAAAACCTAGACTGGACTATGAAGCCCCTTTCGGGAAGGAACAGAGACTGTTGCTTTCTGAAGCGACTCAGATCCTTCAGTGTGTGCAACAGGTTCCTGCAGATCTTCTATTGGTAGGTAGGAAGGTCAGGTGATCAGGTTGGACACCAATTTAGTATCCGACCAAATGTGAAATCTGGTCACAACAATCCACAATAACCATGATAATGACATATCTAATGGCAATACGCGATTGGCAAGCTACTGCCATAACCACATGTGACAGCACATCACGTCATGTTTACAATTTGTCTTTTAAGACAGGAAAGACTCCCAGAGTGGCGAGGCTGAAGAGATGTGACACAGCAGAAACGCATATTGCTGCTCAATATCCGTCAGCCCATTACCCCACAAGAAAAAAGACATTTGTGTGAAATGTTGCCATAATTAGCATATGAATCCATGTTTGTGAGGTCACTGTGATCTTGACCTTAGACCATCAAATTCTTATCAGTTCATCATTGAGTCCAAGTGAACATTTGTGCCAAATTTGAAGAAATTCTCTCAAGGCCTTCTTGAGATACAGCATAAAGTTCTTGACATGAATGGGACCGATTGATGGATCGACAACCCAAAAACTTGATGCAATAAATGTCCTTCAGTGATATCACTTTATTGCGGGTATACCCATAACTTCGCTCTGTGTGCCAGTGCTCCTAGTAGCTGTATACCAGCTCCTCATTTACAGTGGCTCTCGATTCCACTCAAACTTTACTGATGCACAATATTTTACTAGTTTACAGTTATACTTTATAATACACAGTGGATTCCAATGTACGTAGGAACATGTGTGTGTGTGGTATCTAAAATTATAATTAAATGATAAACAATAGTGAGCCACTATAAACTAACATAAACCAATACAAACTGTGACATTGACATAAATTAGCCTTAGCATGCTTCAGTAAGCAGTTAGTTTGTCAACTTAAGTTTACTCAGCGCAATATTAATGGGAAAAAACTGTCAGTAATCCAAAACAGCTGAACAACATTCCTTATGGTAAATACAAATGTATACTTGCTCATGCATGCATACAGTGTTCATTTCTTGGCAGTCCCGAGTGGAATAACTATCTAGACTATGCAAGAACAATGATAAAAGGACCCCTTGCTGAGTCGTCTTGCCCAATGCCCGACAATCTTTCTTCATCTCCCTGGCTCATAACTTGTGGGAATTCAATACAAGTGTATTAGCAGATGAACTCTTCAGGAATCTAGCTCTTAGCTAGCACTAAAAAGTGAGATACTGATTTTGTTTGGTATTTTCAGTAGGGTTAGGGTTATACAAAAATTATAAAAACTTTACAATTTACAGATCTAAGCTTTAATGCTAACTGCAGCAACGTAAGTTAAGGCTTTTAATTCCACTGTGCAGTTGTGTAAGGTGCAATGACAACAGAAATTAACTCCAATCTGCATGTGGCTCCCCTCCCCCTCTCCAGGGTTACCGATCTGCTGACAGATTGCATTGGCAAGCCTAGCTCTGCCTCACATGGCCTATGTGAGGTCAGCAAGGCTAGCTGTCTGTTGGTGACAGATGGTAGCATGTAGGCCTTGCCAACTAGCCTCGCTTGATGGGCAGTTAAACCTGCTCTAGGCCCCTCATCTCCATCCGAATGCAGCAGGTCAGCGAGGGCCACTGAATCAGTGGTGGTGATCTCGCTGTGAGCCGCTGCGCTGGCTCGGATTAGAAGGCCTCGCCTAAATCAGAATCCCAATCACTCCAAGAATCTCTTTAAAAGGTCGAATCACATATCAGGAACAAGTCATAGCTTACCGCTTACTTTGCAATTCTTATAGCGGGACTGGACACCACACTGCATGCTAGCCCAACAGGTGTGAGTGGACATGCCCTGCAAAGTAAAACCATTCTGGTACAGAGGTATACCAGTTAACACTATGGGTGAGATATGTTGCTTTGCAGTCATTGAGCTCAAAAAACCCAAAAGAACTACAAAACTGGTAAATACGTAATGACGTAAATCCCCTAAGCAACAGCTGAGCAAGAACATTGTCACTCATTTTAATTAGTTAGATTTCATAAGTTTGGAGTGATTTTTGATTCGATCAGAGCAACATGAGAGATGAGAATCCCACCTAATAGATGCAGAATGTATTCCTTACAGAGTTTCTACAGGTTTACACTTTGATGACATCCGTGATTAAAGCATTGTTTTCAGTTGTTTAGCAGGTTTTACGGTAGTAAGCTGGTAATCCACATACCCTTACCTAACTAACATCTATTTCCAGTAACAGGCTGAGGAAGTGGAAGCAGTGTGACAGACAAACAGGATGAGCCAATCTATTGACAGCTGGGGGTATTAGGCGATCGTGGGTAGGTGTGAGTGAGTCTTGGCATTACCTGTGTAAGCACCAAATGACCTGTCAGTGCAGCACGCTGCTGTGATACAGAGCATAAAGGCTTAAAATTACCCTTGATGCAGCAAATGTCTGAGTAATGTGCATGCTCTATAAAGCTTCACAGCTCCCTCGTTTTGTAAATAACTGACAGGTGTAGAGGTTGGTTGGGATATATGCAAAAATAGATCAACTAAGGCTTCAGTGCCTTTATAAAACTGTTCTCAGTACTGCCCATTCAGTTTTATTTCTTTCACAGATTACTGAAATGGACATATAATTGGCTCCTATGAGCTTATTGTTTTAGAAAACTACTGCCCCTCGAACTGAGCATCCAAATAAGGTTATGCTAGAACAGTGGGCAACTAATATCGATTTTCAGTGGCCGATGTATGAAGATGTATTAGAGTTATAGTACGGAGCTCTAAACTAAATTATTCACCCCCTTCCCAAAACTCACAAAGGGGAGAGCTCACATGTTTCGCAGCAAAGCTACCTGCAGATGTGTCTGCTCACGTTTTTTTTTCAACAGCATTGTAAACGCAGGCATGTGCCGATGCCGATTATCTCAATGCCCTGATTAATTGACCCACAGACTGATTGAACAGTGAACTCAGTAACTGCAAGAAGTTTGTTTAAAACGAGTGATTTGAATGAATTTTGAGCATCTTAACAATCATACATATTTCTTCTTCAGCAACAGATTTTTTTTGACAAATTCAGTGTTTTCTTCTCATTGTCGCTTGGCCATTGTTCTATTACACAATTGATTTGAACCAAATGCTGAGATAAAGGCCTACTGTGTACAAGAAGGCTTCGTGACCCCCCATAAAGCTTTGGCAACCCCCTAGCAGGAGGTCCCAATACCCAGTTTGGGAACCACTAGTTACTGACTTTGGCTGGAAAGTTAAAAAAGAGTTAAAAAAAAAAATAAAAACCCAACTACTAAATAAATAGTAATGTCCAATGTGTGTAGGACTACTATGAAAAAAGAGCTAGACTTGTATTTGTTTAAAGGCCTAGTCACACCAGAAAGGGCTGCATTTTATCCACACATCTTCATGCTAGAATGTGATGTAGTGACTACTTGCAAGGTTAGTTGGTAAAGTACTGTAGCTGGAGAGCCACTACTATACAGTCACGGTAGCTCACCCAGCTTCCTTCTACTTTCTATGAGCTGGGCACTTTGAACATATTATCACATTATAATTAAATGATGTACAATGTTGAGAACACACACTTTATACGAGAAACATATTTCATACAATCAAATCCTGTCTCATGACTGTCTCCAAACCATGATTTATAATTCAGTATCCTTGCCAGAGATGTGGACAAATAGGAAAATAGAGCAGTGGCAAACCTTATCTCACCCAGGCTTTATCTCTATTTAACCATACTAAAAAAGGACTGAAAAGGTTTCAAGCGTCAGGGTTAACAAGGGACAAGCCCTATGCAAAAGGTGTGGAATTATTGGCTTCCTTTAGGACACACTAGAGGAGAAGCATCTGAAATATTTGTGGTATATTTTGAGAATGGGGGCACACTCTGGGAGAGGCGTAGCGTACACGCTAATTTCTAGGCAAACTGCTGCACTGAATCAATACAGAGGGCTGAATCGTTTTAAAACAAAGACTTCTTTCTTCTCCTCTCAGCCTTGTGGGAGCAACACAGTTTTCCACACAACTGCATCAATAAAAAATACAAAACACATCCTAAAATCAGAGGCCATGTTTTCTAATGACTTCTGGCAATTCGGGAGAGATCTGACATCCTGCCAACTTTCTCCTAAAATCAGTATGTGAAAATACTAGGAGTCAGTGTGAAATTAAAGACAAAGTTGGGGGTGAAAGGTTTCTGCAGGGCACAAACAAATTGGGGTTGTTGTTAGTTTTAAACTCCTGGCCTAAATAGCTCTGATTCTACGTCAGCTCAGTATAGAGCACTCCAAAACACCAGCTGCACAAAAACAACTCTTGGGGATAAAAACACACCAACAGAGAGAATAAATGCACCCGTCTGTTACACACTATTTCCTGTGCTATATGCAAAATGACTTGGTTCTTGGTTTGCACAAGTTCACATAGGCTATTTATGTAGCACACACACACCGATGACAGAAGATCTACAGTGCTGAGTTAAGGCATCACGAATGAAATAAACCAGCTGAGCTGAGGGCTCTACAGTGAGGAAAACAAAGCCTTCCAATAAGGCTGACCTGACATCAACACAGCTAGTCGCCAAAATGGGTGGCAGCAGCAGCATAGCTGTCACAGCAGAGCATCTTGGTTCAATCAGACAACCAAATGAACAATGCCAGTAATTCGGGCAGAAAGTGACCATCGCCATGGAGACTGGCAGCTTCTACAGGTCCTATCCTGCAGTGTACATTGTGCACTGCTGGGTAGAGTTGACAGGAAATCTGCTGGATTCTTCAACAGTCCAAAACAGGAAGAGTGCGCTGTTCTTCCAGTGGAAACAGAACTAAAGCCTTCAAACTTTCTGGCAATCACAGATGGTTAGAGGAGCAAAAGTTCCTTCCTACATGGATGTTCTCCTCAGTAAAATAAGACAATGAGCAGTGTGAACGTCCTCATGTGGCATTTACAGCATTGCCACTCTTTTTAAGAAATCATTTTCCATGCGTTTTCCTGACGATACAGGACAGCAGTTGCTCACAAAAGGTCAGCATTTATGGACACTCAGTGTTAGTTTGCTTTCCACTGTTCTCATCACAGCCAACAAAGCAGATTGTACTACCAACAGTTGAGTTTCAAACTAAATACATAGGCGATCTGAGTGTGGGGCAAAAACACATTCATTTTTTAGGACAACAGATTATTTCCAGGATAACAAATTTGGTCATTTTAATCAATTTCCAGGTGTTTCCTTGACTGGAAAACTAGTCTCTAAATCTCAAGGTTTTCCAGGATGTGTGGGAACTCTGCGTTTAGTGAATTATTTTAGTTTGCTTGAATTTTTTTGCAGTGTGAAGAAAAACCCACACCATCCTGTCCTGAATCCCAAACATGGTTACATGACTGTGATGTCCCAAGTTTAAGGACCCAGGACCAATAAAGACAAAGATATAGGTTGAGAGAAAACCTATAATTTCTTAGCCAGCAACTGCCTAGTTACTCAGACAAAGAAGCCACTCACAAGTAGCACATAATACAAGCCATCAAAAATGCAAATGCAATCTAAGAGAGCCATTTAGTGGGACCATAACCAAGGGTATTAGTTTTGTGAAAGGTAGATGTTTTCGTGAAGCAGCAGGAACCATTATCAGTTAGGAACTAATGACAGGTTATTCAAAAGCCATTATCCCAAAAGGATTAACTACAAAATCAAAATTGCCTTGCCTTTCGAGAGTTATGGATATTTTACATTTCAGGCTAAGAAACAAACTCACCACAGTAGTAAGTCTGTATGCACCACCAGTATGTTCAGTCAGGGCCTTGTACCATGGGCTCAGAACCTGCAACAACAAGAAGTGGGAGACTCAGTCAGAGGCTTCTGAGTTACATTAGATGAGAGAAAACAAAAGTATTTTGGTAAACACTTTAGTAAATTGGCAGTACTGTCGCATCCAAAGTCAAAGGTCAATTTGTGTAATGACAAAAACAAGACCTGTGACAAAACAGAACTTTAGGTAAATGTGAAAATTGCTCACATACTATACTTGGAAGGAGCTCTGGCCCTGTAAACTGAATTTAAGGAGACTGAACAACAAAATATACAACAGTCTTTCAAATGTGGTATATTTGTCTTCATGAGGCTCTTTCCAAATGACACAGGAAAAGGTTCTGTAATGTCTTTTACATTTCTAGTCCCCCTTTAGAGCGCCTCTGGTGGTGCTTTGGATCAATGCTTTGGTGATCAGGTTCCTTCTAGTACTAGAACACCCACAAGGATGGTCATGTCACGGGTGAAATGATAAGGCAATTAATCAAAACAAAATTAATCAGAAACTATTTTAATACCCAATTACTGAAAAACTACTTTTTAAAGTAAAAATGTCAATCATTCTCTAATTTGTGCCCGGTTAGCTCAGTCGGTAGAGCTGGCGACCCATATATGCAGCGGCTCGGGTTCGAATCCGTCTTCCGGCCCTTTGCTGCATGTCATCCCCTCTCTGTCTGTCCCCCTTTCCTGTCTATCTCCAGCTGTCTCTCTTTCAAATAAAGGCCAAAAAAAAGTAATACTTTAAAAAAAAAAATGTTGGTATTCTTTGTCTTATGTGATATAAGAAGGGGTTTACTATATTTGGGACTGTTGGCTGAACAAACCAAACATTTTTTTATTTTAAAAAGGGACATTGTGTAGGAATTTCTCCCATCTAGCGGTGAAATTGTATTTGCATTCAAACGAATAGTTTGGCAGTGACAAGCGCCTCTGGTTTCAGTCATGTGACGCTGGCTCTGAACGAAAACGCGTTGTGGATTAGCTAGACAGGTAGGCTAGTGCTTTATGTCCCTCTCGGCGATTATAGTTTTTCAAAATGGCGGAACGACATGGAAGCCTCCATGGACTTGCCCGTCCAATGTATATACAGATAAGAAATTCTTCGCTTACGAGGATAAGTCAGATCATTGGCAGAGGTAATTTTACACCAATGAGGACACATTTATGAATGAAGACATTGATTTTAGCTAATAAAATACTTAAAACACTACACAATGTCCCTTTAAAATTGGCACATCAGTAAAAAATCAGTCGCACTTATTCCTGCTGATGATGTTGTGTCAATAAACAGCAATATTCCAGCAAAAGGCAGGGAAGAAGAGGGCTGCTATCTGGCAAACTAAGGCTGCTCAATTTATCGAAATTTGATCATGATTACGATTTTGGGGCCAAACGACCTCAAAACTAATAAAATCGGGGGGAAACGATTTTCTTTTCATTTTCTGTTGTGCAACGTTGTATAGAAAAAAAGCTGTGTCCCAATTCAGGGATGCAGCCCCTGTATTGGGACACAGCCACAGTCACAGGCATGCCTATTTCAGTCAGTCACGTTGTTTTCGTTGGAACAGGTAACGCGTAACAGTAACAGGTAATCAGTGTTTCCTCTAGGATTTTTTGTTAAAACTTTTTGTAGAGATTGCAAGAGTGCACTATGACTGTCAATGTAAAAAAGGAGACTTACAAATGTTTATGGGGAAAGGAAAGTGTAACTGAGGACTTCCTTGCAAAGTGTTTTTGACAAATGTCCAATAAATGCAGCATGTTTCTGAAGTTTAAAAAAATAATCGTTTGAATAATCGTGATTTCAATTTTGACCCAAATAATCGTGATTATGATTTTTTCCATAATCGAGCAGCCCTATGGCAAACAGAAGTAAACAATGCTGGTTATAAACTACGCACTGTGAATTACTTCTTTCTTCCAAATTATGAGGAAGGTAAGGCATGTTTGTTAGGTGTACATGACACACACAGTGCTTTTTGATGAGACACGTAAAAGTAACCAGACACGAGTAAAAGGGCTAAAAGCGTTAGCCAGCAGTACATGGGGACTGAATGGTCTAACCATGTGACTGACACTCATTCAGAAGTGTGAACAATGGTTCACCTCTTCAGTCTGAGGAAAGAGGACAACACACCATTAGAGCATGTTCACTGCCAACATTTACAGCAAGTGGCCACCACACATCTGCCAGGCAATGCATTGAAAAAAAAATCAATCAATGCAGCTTTGTGAAGCCTATAATGCTTCTTTATGGTGATACTGTGTTTACGTTCTGCTGTAATTAAGGCTGCAGGCTGAGGTGGCGTTAGAGTGTTGCTGGATTGCATAATACTGTGAAGTGCACTGGAAATTACTGACATTAGGGTTTTTTTTCCCCCAGGCTCACTAGCTCCTTCCCTATTTTCCCTGACCTTGATTCCTTCTGTGCCTCTGTCCTTCTAATCATCCAGTCCCTTGATTCCACTGTCTCCCTTCCTCCTGTCTCTGCTGCCTCTCTTTACAGCATTGGTGAGGCTGCAGAGCAAAGGGAGAGATAATGTTACCACAAAGAAAGAGTAGAGAGTAGTTGGGTGTGGCCAGAGAAAAGTGTTGAAGGTTGCAGATGGCTTGCTGTAGGACACGGCCTGGTATGGCAGGAATGAGGTTTGTAAGCAGCACAAGGCTGTCAGAGATAGTAATCTCTTTGATAGCAAACAAAATATGAAACACCTGTGCCTCTACCTCTGCCTTCACCAGTCACCCTTTTAACAGGAAACAATTAACACCAACATACTCTTGTATATGGCAGCACCCACACAAACATTGATCAATTTCACTCTACAAGTTTATTTTATTATAAACAACCTATCCTCTAATTAGGCATGGGATGATATGAAAACTTCATGTCACGATGATCTTGGCCAAAATAACTGCGATACACAATATTATTGTGATAATCATAAAAATATACTACTTTAAAATGGCACTAAATGCTGGAATCAATTGACCTTACATTTAGTTAAGAAATATATATTTATTGCATTACAGATAGGAACCTCATCTCCCTGTTCTTTAGGATCTATACCATTTCCAAACTTTTGGATTAACATCCAACAGGCAAGCCGAGCCTTCAGCCACAGTGACACGATTAGGATTTTGGAATGACGTGTGCTCCTCTTTGACCCCTTGTTCACAATAAATCAGGAAATCAATATAGTACTGTACACTGGCACGATAGACAGCTTACTGCTGCTGTTAAATAAAAGTTCAAAAAAGCTCATGCAGTGCAGTAACTGGGCAGTCCCGCCAGGATTATGCAGGCATTTCTTGGGATCGTTACAGCCCAAAATGCCAAATTTCACAACAGCTTTCCCAAAAAAAATTGAGATGCAGGTTGCAATGTTTTTAGGCATGTTTTGCACTGAAATTCCGGTAGAATGTGAAAATTGCCAAAATAGTATATTCGTTCATGTATAATTCATTACAAATCAAAGACAACTTGTTCCAGTGATAATACAATCACGTACAGAGTAGGCTAGAGCAACCAGGACTATACGTCATAAGCATGCATCCACAGTCATTGTGTCTTTATTCCTCTCACTGCCAGAAGGGGGATACAAAGTGAAACACTGCAGGTTTAAGGGAAATTCACAAGTAACCAATACATTTTCTTTTCCAGAAGAAAAGCTCCAGTTCAACTAAGTGATAAAGCAAGACACCTTCGCTTGGCACAGTTAGCACTTTGACTTATTGAGATTATAGAACTGGAACACCAGCAAGATTTCTTTCCACCCAGCACAGCTCATTTCAGTATTGGCACTGGAACCATTTCAACATCTGAGTACAAGTCAGTCTTTTAGCTAGTTTGTTTATCAGACGAGGGGGTAGTCGAGCAGGTGTAAAACAACAATCTAACACTGGGCATAAGTCCTGTATCAGTCAGGCTCTGATTCTTAAAATACCCAGAGCGGTTTACAATACAGAAAGGAACAAAAAGGCTTTAGCTTTATAGAATAAAAATACAGACCAATGCCAATTGATTAAAAAAAAAAAAAACCCTTGATGTATAATCCCAGATACTGACCCCAGAGATCAGCCTGAGACAACACTATCCTGGAAAACATATGAAAGACAACACCATTCGTCATCACGTCAACATTCACAGAAATCCATTTAGATTAACTTAATAATTCTATATTACTGTCTGTACATCATTTACCAAACCATGTTTTCCAAGACTTCTGATCTCATCTTCTATGCACATATTGTGTGTAAGCCTTCAAGATTGAGCCTGAAGCCGCTCCAATCAGTGTGCTGATGGTCCAACAAAATACATCAAGTGCAGTAACCTATCTAGCTTTACTATACTATATGTGCTACTGTTGTTTTCTTTTGTTGCCGGCAGCTTTGTTGTTGGTTACTGTCAGAAGAGTGCTAGCATACTAGCAGGACTGGCAAGGAGCCAACAGGAAGCAATCAGTCGGCTTGGCTAGAGGAACTCTCTAAACGTGCATGCTCTCGAAAACCATAGCAATTTATGTAAACCGGAGACAGACTCCAGTACGTGTGCTCTGTAAGCCCCCAAAATTGGTACAGTTGCTTTCATTGCAATGTATCTTGGAGCTTATTATCCAGTTTTTTTAAATTTTCTTAGGTACTCTCTCACTTTGTATTTAGGCAAATTATTGTGTAACATACACTATAATCCACGTCAGACACAGCCACCACAATCATAAGCAAGCCACAACTGTAACATCACACCTTCCTAAAGACATAAAATCACTGCTCCTTTGTAGGGAGCTTATTGACCGCAGGCCTTTCTCTCAGCAACGATGCCACATCATAAACACGGGTTATATCACTAAGTACTCTTAACACCACATATGCATGATGAGATCAGTCTTCTTGTAATACTGGCCGATCCAAAGCCGTGAGACAAGCTCAACCAAAGCATTGAACTTTTAGATTTAACCCTGCTTTACAGATAAACACATCAACTTCTGAAGCAGTGCTGAGCTGTAGCTATGCCTG